GTACTGTTTCCACTCCTGGTATTCTTAGGTTGCTCCACTTAGCGACAACGAATCTTCTCAAACATACAATTATTTTCTACTATCCTGGGTGGTGATATGCAGGGTATCCACAGGTTCATAGTGGAGGGGCATAATGGCCGTAAACAGTCACACCACACATGGTGCGTCCCTCACAGTGTGGTAATAGCCGACACTCAGAACGCATGGTACCTGTTTGGGTGGAAGAGCGAGGCGTGTCTAAGTATAATGCCTGATGGGCTTTTATCACCACACACTAGTACAACTATTACTTCACTTTATAACACCAGGCAAGGTTTTAAGATGTAAAATACTGCTAAATAAATCTTTTTTCGGGCTGAATGGAGCACGAAGGAGTTCACTGACCTGTTTGGGTGGAAGAGCGAGGCGCGTGTAGTGGACGTCTCCCCTACAACTGCGTATCTGCACACCAGATGCCACAGTATCCTAGCACCCAAACGAGCGATCCAGGGGGGGAGGGGCGTCACCAGATGCCACAGTATCCTAGCAACCAGCCACCTGCTACGTCTTCCCTAGCAACGGAGTCGAGAAACCGGCGGGTTTACTTCCGCCTGCTGTGTATATAAGCTCTGTCTCTCCATTAAGATTCATTCTGGCCTCGGTTCCTGAACACGCAACACCTCCTCCTCCGCCGCTGCCTGCGGCCCTCGCTTCTTCCCCGCCTGCCTGGCGGTCCTCGCTCCCGCCGGCGAGCATGGCGACCCACCAGCTGTCCTTCTCTGAGCGTCCTCACCAACCAGCTCTTATTCTACTCTAAGTTCCTGAACACGCAACACCTCCTCCAAGCAAGCTCCTCGCTGTCCAGCTTTCATTCAACCAGGAGGCCAGCAACAGGCAACATCTTCTCTAACGAAGCTCCTGCACATCTACCTCCTTCAACACGCTACTCACCGAACGTGTCTACTGAGCAGCTCCTCACCACACGGCTCCAGCACCAGACTGTCTACCATATAACTTATATTATATAAGAAAACCACCACCTTAGAGTTTCCATCCATCCTGAGTGCTAGACAACATAATGTCACGTAACCCTACACACATCTAAGGACGAACGCCTCGCGTCCCGCATTGAGCTAGGCCTACAGTTTCCAAACTTTAATTTTCACTTTGATTTCTTCTGGTTCTCACATTTCCACTTTCCTATCTATTGTGACGTTATGCCTTATAATTACATATCATAATCCTAAATTACATACTAAAGTAAGGATCTGGTTTGACAGTTCCTGGGGAAATTAATTGGGCTATATCATTAACTTAAAACTGTAGCCCGGGGCAGAAAAGACACTAACATAGAACAAAAGCCGAGCGTCGTATTTTCATGGCGTGGGTATATCCACTTCACTTCAATCTGTATTTAGGGAACCTCCCCTCACACGTTGCAATCGTTGAACACATTCATAAGATTCTCTGATCATTGCATGGTCAGTGTTTATATGTCACATGAGATAACGAGGTGTATTAAGGTGTATAGTTTCTGGATCACTTCCAACACTTCACTTAGCTCTGATACATTTATCCTTTTTCCAAATCAATGTTCTTTTATATTTTCATCTGATACCTGCAGTAGCTATGTTCACTAATCATTCACAGACATAAATATTATGACCTTCAAACACGATCTACACTTATCCCTTATAGTACACTAGTCCGTATCAATTGGACCTTCCCAATCATCCTATACATACCTTGAGTTCTCCTTAATGCTATGAGTACATACACTTAATATTATATGACAGTACCTGGGTACAATTTGTATAAAACATACATTAGATGAGTTATAAACATACATTAGATGAGTTATAAACATACATTAGATGAGTTATAAACATACATTAGATGAGTTATCCTTTGCCAACGTTTCCTGTTTTCTGAGACTCTACAAGCGTGGTGGATTTGAATGTTATATAGCGTAATATGAATTAAATGGGGTTTTTAGGAATGACAATGATGTGCGCAGTACAGAGGTGCTGGAACAAGTGCTGTAACTAGATGCTCTGGAGTCTCCTGTGGTTTCATTGAGTCTGGAACCCAGCTCATTCCAGAACTTCAGGTCATTGGTGCCCCAGACTTTATTGAAACCAAACAATATTCATGATCTTATTCTTAGTCCAGTTTATGTTATTTATTCACAACTGAGCATAACCTCAGTTTTAATGCAGTATAAACTCTATCTTTAAAACCTTACATTCTCAAAATGATTATCAGGATCTTACTTTGTACTCGTTGAGCTTTCACATTTTCATCCAATTCGTGATTGGTGTTCCTGGCCACTTCAGAAAACTTTGGAAGACAAACTGTCAATGAGACCCGATAGATATATCAACAATATCATTAGCTTTTATGACATCAACATAAAGTTGGGTCAGGAGGAAATTTTAAATAAATTGGTGTTTTCTGCAATTTTGTTTTAAATAATTTGTTGGATTGCAAAAGCATACCAACATTTCTTGGGACAGTAAGTGTTTCTAAACCCATTTAAAATGAATTTTACCACCTTTTTTTAGTTTTAAAACCTGAATAGGAAATATGGTAATACTGTATGTATGACAGTTGCAAAGAATAGTGCCTAGGATGGGAAAATGTGTTGAGAGGCTCATCGTGCATTTGTAATTTATGAGACGCTTTAGGGCAATCCATATAAGACATCCAATACTAATCATTGGTTCAGATAGTCTATTACCATTTTAAGGAATGCGAGTAAGTTTGTCAGAAAAGATTTTCTCCCCATGAAACCATCTTGTAATGCATTGTTAAGACGTGCTCGATTAGGTGCTGTATGATGACAATAGGTTAGGATGATAATGTAGATGTTTGAAGTTGTTGAGGATAATATGGAAGATGTCTGAAGGTAGACCATCAGCTTAACATCACCACCACACACTTTACAACACCATCACCACCACACACTTAACAATACCATCACCACCACACACTTAACAGCACCATCACCACCACACACTTAACAATACCATCACCACCACACACTTAACAATACCATCACCACCACACACTTAACAACACCATCACTACCACACACTTAACAATACCATCACCACCACACACTTAACAATACCATCACCACCACACACTTAACAACACAATCACCACCACACACTTAACAATACCATCACCACCACACACTTAACAACACCATCACCACCACACACTTAACAATACCATTACCACCACACACTTAACAACACCATTACCACCACACACTTAACAATACCATCACCACCACACACTGAACAATACCATCACCACCACACACTTAACAACACCATTACCACCACACACTTAACAATACCATCACCACCACACACTGAACAATACCATCACCACCACACACTTAACAACACCATTACCACCACACACTTAACACCATCACCACCACACACTTAACAATACCATCACCACCACACTTTTAACAATACCATCACCACCACACACTTTACAACACCATCATCACCACACACTTAACAACACCATCACCACCACACACTTAACACCATCACCACCACACACTTAACACCATCACCACCACACACTTAACAACACCATCACCACCACACATAACAATACCATCACCACCACACTTTTTAATACCATCACCACACACTTAACAACACCATCACCACCACACACTTAACACCATCACCACCACACACTTACAACACCATCACCACCACACACTTTACAACACCATCACCACCACACACTTTACAACACCATCACCACCACACGCACACACACTTAACAACACCATCACCACCACACACTTTACAACACCATCACCACCACACACTTTACAACACCATCACCACCACACACTTAACAACACCATCACCATCACACACTTAACACCATCACCACCACACATAACAACACCATCACACACACACTTAACAACACCATCACCACCACACATAACACCATCACCATCACACACTTAACACCATCACCATCACACACTTAACACCATCACCACCACACACTTAACACCATCACAAACTTAACACCATCTCACCACCACACACTTAAAACCATCACCACCACACACTTAACAACACCATCACCATCACACACTTAACACCATCACCACCACACACTTAACAACACCATCACCACCACACACTTAACAACACCATCACCACCACACACTTAACAACACCATCACCACCACACACTTAACAACACCATCACCACCACACACTTAACAACACCATCACCACCACACACTTAACACCATCACCACCACACACTTAACACCATCACCACCACACACTGACCATCACCACCACACACCGCGATAAATTCTAACATTTTGCCATGGACCTATTTTTATATCAGTATTTTGATATTTGAAATAGGCTCAAACTTTCATCATCAGAGATTCCGATTACAGTATCCGCATTCTAGTAAGACACGACAAAGAAAAAATATGCGGATTAGTGTTTATGTCTGGTTTATTATTTCCTCAAAAGAATAGCTATCAAATTAAGATGACTTGCTAGAAAATGGATAAATCTAATCACATATATAACTAAGCTAAGGGACAGGGCACAATTTTTAAGGCTTGGGTAGGCCTCCCCTCTGGTTACTGCCCACTATTCCATCCTAAGTTGTTCTCCAAAATACTGTAATCTCCCCCTCTTTAACTATGGTCTCTCAACCCCCCACCAGTATCCTTCATTCTGATCCAAAATGGTAACTTTCCTTCCTGGACTAACCCTCTCATACATGTCTTTATCTACCACCTCCCAGAAAAGATTACCAGGTTTACCATTAAATATTAAAAGGGTATAATATTGTGTGCTGTAAATATTTAGTGCCATATTGGAAAATACAGTAAAGGTATATTACAGAACTTCCTCTAACACTATAACAGGTACTGTACTGTGTCTTATCTTACCATGTTTATGTAAAATCTATTTCCTAAAAGGTTTAAATAAAATCAGCACTTTCTACATATCTTTATTATGTTACATATTTACAAAGTGATTTAAATGTTGAAAAATTAGCCAAATGTATTTACAGTTACCTAGAGGGATTTCACCTCAGTAGACTTGAAAATATTGGACAACATACTTGACCTTTTATACTGCACACACACACACACACACATTGTAAACGTGATGACAGAGCTAATTCTGCTATAAATCTTGAATGACTTCCTATCTCCCTCTTTTGTATACTATACAGTACCAGTACAATATAGGTCCATAAACAAATTCCTTATGTTCTATTGTATCAGGAAGTCATACTGTTAAGAGAAAAGAAAACGGGTGATAAAAGAGTCGATTTACTGCAAAATAGAATCCCTCCTAAAAGTAAGTGTGTGTGCACTCCAGCACATCCTATCATTACTGTACCATTTTATTTATTTATTTTATTTTTTCAAAATAAAAGTTTTTGTAAATTACCTAAATTTATGAAAATTATCTGTTTATAAACTATTAAAGTATGTAAAGGAATAAAGTGCTCTAAAAATTCACAAAATTTTCTTATGAATGAATATTGCTCTGGTCCAAAATGTAATGGAACAAAAATGATGCAAAATTTCCACTGTGAATTTAATTTGGTGACATGTGACTTGGGATTCTTTACATCATATTGTCATACAATATATATTTAAAAGATAATGCAGTATAAAATATCAAGTAAGCAAAAAAAATTAAAAATCTTGAAATTAACAAATTCTACATCTAACTTTCTAAAAAATTCTAATTCTTCAAATAATATATTTTTCAAACTGCAGTATGTGTCGTTACAGATATACAGTACAGTACACGGGACTGATTAATTTACTGCCTCCGAGGAGGAACCCATGCTTCAATCTTGGGCTTTGTTGTGGTATAGGGAGTGTATGCATCTTCTGTTCCAGTTTTATTCTCTTGGTGTCCACTTTGCCAAGCATAACTCGTGGGAGCAACCTGAAGAAAAGAATTACATGAACTATACTGCATATACAGTGGTCCCTCGGTTAACGAACACAATTCGTTCCAGAAGGTCGTTCGTTAACCAAAAATTTCGTTAACCGAAACCATTGTTTCAATGGGATTTTGGGTAATTGGTTCCAGCTCACCGAAAATTACATAAAGTAAAAAAAAATGCAGTAAAGTACACTTACTTTGAGGTGTGTATGTAGAAGGCTCCTGGTTGATGATGATGATGGGAATTAGAAGTAGGGGTGGAGGAGAAAGGAGAAGAGAAGGAAGTGGGGGTGGAAGAGAAATCACCCCATGCTTGATGCCGTCACTTCACCCATAAAATTTTAAGTTCACTAGGTGTAATTCTAGATTATTTTCATTAAATCAACACTGCACTGCACTATTTATTGTCAATATGTTAAATAAATTTCAGAAAGACCAATAATTGTACTGTAAAAACGTAAAAATACTCTGTGTTCAAGAGACCCACAAGCAAGATATTTCCTCCACTGAACAGATACAAACTGAGGCCTTGGTGGGTGAGTGAAGTGGCTGATGGGCGCACCAAAAACTAGTTCCCTGTACTGCAATTATGTTAAATAAGTGTTAAAATTACTAAAAAATTTAATATAAAACTTGGAAAATTATTGAATAGTACAAACTTCTTGACATGTACTCCAATTTTAACGAATGTAAGCCCTAGAACTGATTTCTGTATTGGCGGACTAATCTTCCAGATGGTGAGCAAGCCAAAGCATGTCGAAACATCTTCGTAATAATTTCATTAACCAAATTTTTTTTGTTAACCGAAATGAAGATTCTTATGGAAAGTAATTCGTTAACCGAAATTTTGTTAACCAAGGCGTTCGTTAACCGAGGGACCACTGTACCGGTATTGTAAATATACAAAAATTTAGGTAATGATACAGTTTACAAGTAAATTCTTAAAGCAGTACCCCCACTATTACAGGTTTTGAAAGATTACTTTAGCAAATGATTCACAGAAGCCTCCCAGTTTGTTGAGTGCTGGTGGAATGGTGTCAACCCCACACATAAGTTGGTTACAAATTTATCACAACAATGCTCCTTTTGAAACACCAGAGGACCATTACCATAATATTCTAACCATTTAATTCCATGATCACAGAGTCAGACAAGTGCTGCTCCCTTCCAAGTCATTCCAAAGTTAATTTAAACAATTGATAACCTTGGTACTCTTGTGAAAAGTTTCCATTTTTGAAAAATTACCTGCCCTCACCTCCCCCCTCTTTTAAATGAGTTATTGTACTGGTAACCTCTGAATCTCAAGGAAGAAATAGTCCCCCCAAAATCTCATTAAATGTCTCGGACTTTGTGATATATGTTTATTTCCAAATCTCTATGAGCTACAGTACTGTGCATTGGTTGTGTGCCACCAGTAGGTTACTCTGAGGCTGAAAGCATTCTCTAAATTAAAGTGTATCAAGATCTACATGAGAAACAGGATGACAGTGGAAAGGTTGACTGGCCTGGCTTTGATGCATCATTTCACAAAACATTTGCTACCACTTAAACTATTTTTTTGTCAAGAAAGTAGCATAGAAGAGTATTGATGTTACTCACAAATAACCATTAAGCCTCCAATATCATGAGGCATAACTATCACCAGCACTGCGCCATGATAGTACCATACTGTAGGATCTCCCGTAACCCAAAGCCACGTCTACCAACCAGTCTCAAATATGTGGTTTAATTTTACCAATATTAATTTCAATAGCTCCATGAATTCAATAATACAGTACAATACTGTATTTTATTAATAAAAATAAAAATAATCAAGGTATTAGGCTATAGAGGGTGGGCAGGAAATAATTAACACATTTTAAAGTTATTTCTCATCCACTCTGTATAACAGGAAATATTAAACAAACAAAACCTCCATGATCCTGACCTCAGTTGGTGGCCCATCAGTCTTGTGGTGTAACCATCCAAACCACTCGGCAGGAACCAAGGATCCATCATAATCTGTCCCGTATCGTGGGTGATATATTACCCACCGATTTCGACCTAAGGAAAAAAAATTACAAAAAGTTATCTATTCATACGATACATTGATGTGATTAATTGTAATATCTGTTTCTGGGGAGAGAACAAATTTGAAGACCTCATTTTATAGCTAAAGGAAAGAGCAAAGTGACCTGTGATTTTCAATTCTACAGCAGAACCTTCCTTATATGTATTCATGGTGCTAGTATGCACATTCTGAAGAAGGGACACTGTCCTTAAAAGATCACTGAAGAGGCTACAAAATAACTATATACAGTACCTGCCCAGTTGAAATCAGGCTTGGGTTCAAATGCAGGCTTATGCATTTGATTACAAATGTTTTAAATTAATAAAATACTGCACAGTAAACCCTCCTGTTTGGCGAATTCGAAGTTGGCCATCAATATTAAAAATACCCTGCCCTCCATTTTGGCGACCAAACCCTCACCATTGGCGAGGGTTTAAATTTAAATGCAATCACAACTCATAATTGTAGAATAATAAGTTCAAGATAAATCTCGCTTAATACCATTGGTGAATATTATTGGTGAGTATTTACCGAGCACAAAGCACCAGTCAGCTGTTCAGACAGCCATTTTGACCGTGTCAGTCCACATTCCTGGGGTTGTTTGAGTGACCATGGCCTTTGTGTAACTTTTATTTATTCCCTCTCGCTTGACGCGGTGTTCTCGCGTGGATTAATGGCCTCAAAAGTACCTGGGGGGATTGGAGGGATTGATAGTGGTGGTGAAAGACCGTCTGAGCGCCCGGGTGGTTCAAATGATGGGGTAGAAACAAAGACGAAAAATTTTTGAATATCGAGTTGGGAAGAAAATGGAAAAGTACTCATTTGAGGATAAGAAAAAGATTGTGGATATGATTAAGTGTGGAATGAAAACAAGTGAGAAGGTAAAGTTAATGAATTGCCGAGTCTACTGTGAGAGGAATAAGGAAAAAGAAAGATAAAGTGAAGAAAAGTATAAATATGGCTGAAAAATACTTTGGTTGTGGAGGACAAAAACCGCTTAATTGTGATGACTGAACACTTTCTAATGATATGGATTTCCCATAGATCTAAGGACAAAACCAGTGTCAGTGGGCCTCAGATTAGGGATCAGGCCAGACTTTTCCATGCTGCTATTCGTAAAAAAAAAAAGAAGATAATCAACCCTCCTTCATTTGTGGTTTCAAAAGGTTGGCTGGACAAATTCAAGCGCCGGTGTAGTGTGAAATATTCGTTATACCAAGGTGAAATCTCATCTGCTGATGAGGTTGCAGCAGCATCTTTCCCAGAAGTAGGAAGACAGATTGTGAAAGAAGGTGGCTATATACTTGACCAGATATACAATTGTGATGAAACAGGCCTCTATTGGAAGCGGTCACCAGAGGAAACATCTATTTCAAAGAATGAAACACAAGCCCAAGGTGTTAAGATGGCCAAGGATCGAGCTAGTGTTCTGTTGCATTGCATGCATCAGGTGACCACAAAATGAAACCCCTTATTATTTATCATGCAGCCTGCCCCCGTGCTTATAAAAATTGTAATATGAATAAACCCAATGTCCATTGGCATAACAATACCAAGGGTTATATGAATGCCCTTCTGTCGGTGGAATGGTTTGATGACATGTTTGTGTACGAGGCAAAGGAAAATTGCAAGCGAAAGAACCTGGCATTCAAAATATTTCTCTTTCTTGATAATGCCCCTGGGCATGCCAAGTATCTTGTAGGCTGCCATCCAAATGTCCAGGTGTGCTTTTTACCTCCTAATACAACCAGCAAAATTCAACCCCTTGACCAAGAGATCATAGCCAACGTAAAGTTGATATTTTATAAACAAGTGCATGACCGGCTAAGGAGGCAGACTGACACACAGGTTGAAATGAGGGAGATATAAAGGAAAGTGGTAGGAAGGCAAACGAAGCACCTTCATCCTCCTCCTCCTCCCCACCCTCTCACTTGAATGAACAGACAGAAGTTGTGACTGTCCAGGCCTTTTGGAAAAAATCAATACTGTATTCGTGAGGCAGTCAATTATCTGGTGTCAGCCTGGAACCAGATAACGAAAGCAACAGTTCACCACGCCTGGATGCCGCTATTCCCTCATCTTGCCAAGTCACAGGATAGCCGCCAGCAACAGAAAGATCTCCTACGGGAGACAGTTCAGTCAGTCCAAAGTATCCCAGCAGCCGGATACAATAGCAGGAACGAGGACCAAATTAACAAACTTTTAGGTGCAGATAAGGCCCCAGAAAGCATTGAGGAGATGCTAGGAGAAGAAAATCAAGTTCAGCAAGAAACATTCCCACAAATTGTGCAAAAACCGATGGAACCAACAACTCGTGATTTGTCCATGTTCCTTGGCGTTTATGACAATCTCGAAGAGCGGATGTTGTTGGTTGAGCCAAACTATGATGCCCGTGAGATGATGATGGGTTTGTTTAATAAAATACGAGGTCGCTACCAAGAAAAATATAACAAGAAAGTAAATGACCACCAACAAGATCTGATCACTCGTTACTTGAGCCGCAAACAAGAAGAAAATAGGCAAGTGATTGAAGCAATTGAACGTGTAGAGGTGGAAGATGAAGGGGAAGAAGACTGTCTCAAACTAGCTAGCCTGCCAGAGAACTTTTTAGTGGTGGCAGAGGCAGTGGTGGAGGAGGGGGGTGACAGATGTTAGCCTTCCTTCCCAGCCACGTATACCAGCTTAGTGTACATTAAGGTCCTCAACTTTAAATTTAAGGTTAGTTTTTTATGTTTATGTTCATTAACAAATTATTCATTCTCTTTCAACAATAAAATATAGGTTATATGTGGGTAAAATAAGAAAATTTTGAGACTTTGGGTGGCCCCTCAGTACCAATTATGCTTCTTCCCATTGGATTAAGCCCTCTGGTTTGGCGATTCTGGGTTTGGTGAGGTCTTTTCGGCACCAATTAGTCGCCAAACTGGAGGGTTTACTGTACTATCAAACAGAGCCAGATGTCCCATATATCCTCTGAGATATTCTCCTGGTCAAGGATGATGTGAGAGCTTGAATAATCATCTCAGTTTCAGTGGACATTATAGGTACAAGCCACATAGCTTATAGTGTCCACTGACCTTAAGATAAAATATTAATATCAGGAGTAGGTACAAACTTGAAATTTACATTTGAAATTTGAAATACATTTGTATTTGAGGCTAAGCTTGGTTGAAACAATGATTAGGAAGGTGGAACTTTAAGACCACAACAAGGTAACACAATAAATACCGTACTTACCAAGTGTAAGTTTTCTGTTTTCGTAGTATTTGTTGCCATTAGCGTCCTCACCCACCAAGGTACCATCTTTAATGTCGTCTACCCTGGAAAATTAACAAAAAATATATACACCTTATTACAGAAAGCAACTTATAACTTTAAAAGATACAGTACTTTCATATATTCTTAACAAGGATATGCATGCAGAATTTAATTGTACATCCACATAATACAGTACGTATAGTACAGTACATTATACAGTAGGACCTTGCCATTCCTGGGGGTTAATTTCTTTAAAATTTCTGTGATCCACATATTCACAAGACCAAACTTATGGGTCATGGAGAAAATTGAGTTATGGACTTCAGCTATAAAAGTGGGTTAATATATACGATTAAACTGCGGACGAGTTATTTGAATTACTGTTTATTTTCTTACTTTATTTTCATCAGTGAGTTCTGATATGATAATCATTTCTTGTGCAAATGTTTCCTTTTGTAGATAATTAGAAGCCTAGGTGAACACTAGTTTGTCTTCCCTGTGGTAATGAGGCCACGCTCTGCTACGGCGCTATTCCCCGCACCCACAGCAATTTCACTTTCATCATGACGTGTGAAGGTTGTCGCCAATCTTATATGGAGGTAATTTGCAAATTTACGGATAAAGACAACGAGACCCTTCAATTGTTCAAAGACCACGGCATTGTTCTTTTCAATAGAGACTGTCCACACTGCAGGAATCCCTGTGCTTTCAGATAGGAAATTAAATTTTTCCAATGTAATAATAAAATTATCAACAAGAAAAACAAGCAGCTGGCTCGACGTTTCCAGCCATCACAATAAATCACTCCGCCGCCCGGCCTGCTCAAGAGCCGATGCATGATCTCGCATCCAGAAAAAGCCTCAAATTACACCATATCATAGTAAGTTCTTTGTGTTTAATATACAGTAGGGTTGGGATGTATAGCAAGATAGGTTCCAAGGATGTTCGCTGTATACTAAATCGCATGTAATTAATGGGGAAAATGGGGTTAAGTTCTGAAGCCAACATAAGTGATTAAACTTGACTTAACGCGTTTATTTTCTTACTAACTAAAGCACCAATGAACACTAGACTCTCAAACAACAGACATTATGACTGATAAATACACACTATGTGACCTTTGCAAACCTTCCCTGCGGCTGTCAAAACTAATCATCCTCCCAGCCAGGGTGAAGGTGGTTTTAGGCTTAAAAGTGTTTATCTTATAAAATGGCACAGGCTAAAGTTAGCAGATTATAAATTGCTTTGCTGTAATCCTTGCAAGACAGCGAATAGTTTGAATATACAGGTAGACCTCATATATTTTGCACAAGAGATAAAAATTTAAGTACTGTACTGCACTTTTTTCAACTCATATTTTTGGGACAATTTAGAGTATTTTTAAGAGTGTTTCTGACTTAAACTGTGAGGTCCCAGGAACATAACCCTGTGTAAGTTGTGAGTACTGTAAATAAATTTATTGCTATATATTGAAAAATGTCGATAATTTGGGTAGCCGCGATGCAATAAAATCGTTATATAAAGTTTCTATATATCCCAACCCTACTGTATTGGGGGGTCCAGGTGGCAGAGCCCCGGTAAGGAATGACCAAAATGGTACTGAGAAAAGACACCAAGGAAACGACAAAAGCTCAGTGTTAAAACTTTTTTAGTCCTTTGATAGACAAATTGGACGTTAGCATAGTCAGGGACAGGGATGACAAGGAAGGTACAAAAACCTTAATTGTTGGTGATTCCCAGGTACTGTACCTGGATAGAGCTTTTTGTGGTAAAAATAAAAATAGGATGAGGGTTTGTTTGCCAGGAGCTGGGGTGGGGGATATAGTTGACAGGATGGACAATATCTTGTCTGGTAATGGGAGCAAACCCATTATCTGCCTCAGTGCAGGAGGCAATGATATTGGCCAGTGTAGGAGTGAGGAACTTCTTGATAAGTTCAAGACAGCTATAGAATGTATTAGGTTGAAGGGAGAGATCCCTATCATATGTGGTGTCCTGCCTAGAAAAGAGTTGGTGTCAACGGCCATCTTGACAAACATTGCAAGTCAATATCAGTTCCATTCATTGACAACTGGGACAACTTCTACGGCAGAAGGGACCTTTATGCTAGGGATGGGGTGGCAACCCTGGCTGATTCTCTCGAGAGGGCAGGTCAAATGATGTTGAAGTCTTTAAACTGCTAGGGGAACATATGGGCATGGAGGTGGAGGAGACTGCAGTGGGAGCAGGTAAACAAAGTGAAAGGTTACAGGGAAATAGTGATAGGAATGATGACAAAACTAAGTTAGGCAGGGAGTTAAAACCTAAATGCATCAAAGAGAGGACCCAGAACACGACTAACTTAAATGTCTATTATGCAAACAGTAGGAGTATGAGAAACAAAATGGATGAAATCAGGGCGTTGGTATGTACCGAAAAAATCGATATAATAGCATTCACCGAAACGTGGATAAACTTACTCACGTGAGTTACCTGCCGAATACCAAACTGCAGGTTACAAATTATTCCATACTGATAGGCAGATTAGGAAAGGGGGCAGAGTAGCAATCTATGTCAGGTATAATCTGAAGTGTGAAATAATTAAGGAAATAAAAACTGAACTGAATACAGAAACAATTTGGATAGAATTAATCGATGGTAGAGAAAAATTAATCACAGGAGCAATATATAGACCTCCTAATCTTGATAGAGTTAATGAGCGACTTATTTGGGATGAAATGCGTAGGGCTTCCAGGCATAGGTAAGTCTGTATAGTAGGCGACTTTAACTTTAGCCAAATAGATTGGATCGACCTTACTTGTAACTTGGAATCAGAGAATTTTCTTGAAACAGTTCAAGACTGTTTCCTAAGTCAACATATAACCGAATCCACCCGGGGTAATATACTCAATTTAGTTCTGTCAAACAGAGAAAACCTCATTAGTAATGTAGATGTAGGGAACAAACTTGCTAACAATGATCACAAAGAAATAAGATTCCAATTAGAATTTAATGGCGGTCGAAAAGAAAATTCCATTAAAGTCCCAGATTTCAGAAGGGCAAACATTTATAGGTTGAAATGGCAGCTAAGAGAAGGGGTATCACGTTTGGGGATGGATTACATGACCTCACACAATGTACCCACAGAGGGCAACCTCACTTTACCTGGAGACCTGACAACGATATCCTCACAAAATATGATGGTTGAGGATGACCTGATCACGAGATTTGAGGTTGACGAGTTCCACAACAATTTAAATAATGAGTTACTTAACCCGTACGGCGTCAGCTAAGTTATTATAATTATGTTCGGCTGGTGTCGGCAATTTTTCGAAGGAAAAACATCATTTAGCCTCTCATCGGACCATGGAAGGTGTAGTTACGCCCAAGAGTGAATGTGTCGCGACGTTGAAAGTTTGTGTAGAACCCGTAGAGTTTTACGGGTGTTGAAGTTTTTCATCGAGTGAGAGTGGAATTATGGTAATTACCATAAGTTTTCACTGTCTGTAGCTGTTTTTTCTTTGTTTATTGTTGATCTCGATTACAGAACATCAATATATTTATCCTTTTTCGTATTATTTACACTCATTTTCATAATAATTTTCACCAATACGAATTTTTTTTGTTTGATTTTATAATTATTTATTTTTTATTTGGTTTCACTTTTGCATTATAAGTATAGATTTTATAGTACTAATTCATTTATCTCGAAAGCATATTGGCGTAACTGTTACGCCGTTGATGCTGTACGGGTTAATACACAAAGGCAGAACATACCATACAGAAAACTCAAATCAGACAACAATGACCCTAAATGGATAAATAATTATTTAAAGAATATTATTGGACAAAGGAAGGCTATAAGTAGAAGAATAAATCATGGTGAAGTTTACATCCGAGATTATTATAAGGTATTGGCCAGGAGGGTTAAGATAGAGATGAGAAAAGCAAAGATGAATAATGAACTGAAGGTAACAAGGGAGGAAAAGTGAAACCTCAAGAGATTCTTTCAAATGTAACAAACTAAAACACGAGAAAATATTAGACCAATACAGTCAGATATCGGCGAGCTAACTGATAACAACGGAGAGATGAACAATAATCTGAATAAATATTTTTCAACAGTTTTCACCACCGAAATTTAAACACGATACCCGAGGCACCGACTATATACAGAGAGAGTGAAGAAAATAGATTGAGCGAGATAGTAGTGACTGGTAATAATGTTAGTAAGCAAATAGACAAACTAAAGCCTAATACCCTGTAAGTCACCAAGTCCCGATGAGATATTTGCCAGAGTATAAAAGGAATCTAAGGAAGATCTTAGTATGCCCTTAGCAAAATTGTTTAACATGTCATTAAAAGCAGGTGTAGTACCAGAATCCTGGAGGATAGCGAATGTGATACCGATTTTCAAGAAGAGATAGATCACTATCCTCTAACTACCGTCCAATCAGTTTAACATCAATTGTAGGCAAATTACTGGAAGCAATAATTTCAAACTCTATTCGAAATCACCTGAAGAAGTACAAGTTGATCAATGATTCTCAACGTGGCTTCACAATTGGGCGTTCGTGTCTAACTAATCTACTGTAGGGGGATACCAACAGCCAACAAGAAAGATGTGCCAGCTCTTCAACACCTGGAGATAACCGAGGGCAAAATAAGAAAGGTGATTCAAAAATTGAAAAGACAAAAGTCTCCTGGTCCAGATGGTACATCCAAGCGTCAATAAGATGATGGAGGAATTACTTCAGCCTCTGAGGATCTTGATTGAAAGCTATTTTCAAGAAGGAAATACACCTGAGGACTGGCGAATTGCATATATCACAGCTACCTATAAGAAGGGAAGTAAAAGTGAACCAGGAAACTACAGGCCAGTCAGTCTAACTAGTGTAATCTGCAAATTAATGGAGTCAATATTACGGGAAGAGATGACATCCCATATGAAAAAATATGGATTGTTTAGTAATAAACAGTTTGGCTTCATTTCCAGCAGGTCAACAGTCCTACAGTTGATTAGGGTACTAGACAGGTGGACGGAAATTATCGATGACAGTCAGGCTGTGGACATAGTGTATTGTGACTTCATGAAGGGTTTTGATAGAGTACCCCACAAAAGACTATTAGAAAAAGTATCTAGTTATCGCATTGATGGAAAATATTTTGATTGGGTAAGGAATTTTTTAACTAAGAGAAAACAGAAGGTTGTGGTAAATGGAGAAGTATCTGACTGGAGAGAGGTCACTAGTGGGGTCCCTCAGGGTTCTGTCCTCGGCCCCCTGCTGTTTGCCCTTTTTATCAGTGACCTGCCTGAGGCAATTAAACATGACAGCGAGGTATATCTATATGCGGATGACACAAAGATTTTTAGGAAAATAGAACGAGATGAGGATTGTGACATGCTGCAAGAGGACCTGGATGGGATCAGGGGTTGGACTGAGAAGTGGATGCTGAACTTTCACCCAGAAAAAAGTAAATACATGAGGATAGGAAGAACAAAAGTTGCTGACCAGGGATATCATATGTACACCACGATCAAGAAGGCGACTGTAGAGAAGGATATAGGGGTAGTCATTGATGATAAGCTGACGTTCTCTGACCATCTAGCTGAGAAAATCAACAAGGCTAATAAAATAGTGGGCATTATTAGAAGAACTTTTGTTCATCTGGATGCACCTATATTCAAGGCTCTGTACACTGCTCTGGTTAAGCCACACCTTGAGTATGCTAATCAAATTTGGTGCCCATATCTCATTAAGGATATAGAAGCAGTAGAGAATGTACAGAGGAGGGCTACCAAATTAGTACCACAGATCAAGGATTTATCTTATGAGGAAAGACTAGGGAAATTACAGTTACCGACACTGGCGTACAGAAGATCTCGTGGGGACCAAGTGGAAACATACAAGATAGTGTGTGGCATATATGACCAGGCATGTACAGCAGGAATGTTCCAGATGAGGGAGGCTGACACTACCTCGGGGGAACACAAAGAAGATCTACAAAACAAGAGCGAGGCTAAATCTCAGAAGACATTGGTTCCCGAGTAGGGTTGTCAACAACTGGAATGGGTTACCTGAGTGGGTAGTGAATGTGGAGACGGTGGAAAAGTTTGAAGCAAAATTAGATAAATACTGGAAAAATCAAGAAATATATAATTATAGGGCACAAATATCCGCCACACACAGCCACCGTCTGAGTAGAGAAGAGGCTATTGAGCTGGAGTCACAGGCGTGAGCCTCTTCCAGAAGATCATCTGTGAGTGTAAACGGGACTGCCCAGTATGGGTCAATAGGCCCGCGGGACTGCCCAGTATGGGTCAATAGGCCCGCGGGACAGCCCAGTATGGGTCAATAGGCCCGCGGGACTGCCCAGTATGGGTCAATAGGCCCGCGGGACTGCCCAGTATGGGTCAATAGGCCCGCGGGACTGCCCAGTATGGGTCAATAGGCCCGCGGGACTGCCCAGTGTGGGTCAATAGGCCCGCGGGACTGCCCAGTATGGGTCAATAGGCCCGCGGGACTGCCCAGTATGGGTCAATAGGCCCGCGGGACTGCCCAGTATGGGTCAATAGGCCCGCGGGACTGCCCAGTATGGGTCAATAGGCCCGCGGGACTGCCCAGTATGGGTCAATAGGCCCGCGGGACTGCCCAGTATGGCTCAATAGGCCCGCGGGACTGCCCAGTATGGGTCAATAGGCCCGCGGGACTGCCCAGTATGGGTCAATGGGCCCGCGGGACTGCCCAGTATGGGTCAATAGGCCCGCGGGACTGCCCAGTATGGGTCAATGGGCCCGCGGGACTGCCCAGTATGGGTCAAGAGGCCCGCTGCAGTTTCCTCCATTCTTATGTAATGCAAATTTACCTAATCTTCTAATTCTAAACAGACGCCTACACACACACCGCTGGTCTTCTTCCCACGGCATGGCCACCTCTAGTTTGTGTGATCGAGGCCATTAGGTCAATAATGTGGGTAAAATAGGTGTTTGTTGTTAGCGAGACTTGTACCTGGACGGTCACCGTATTTCTGAGTAATCACATTTATTAAAACTAAGTATTCTAACATGTATATTTTGGGCACACCTGTACAGCTGGTAGAGAGTTCCTCTGATTCCACCATGATTTTTAATAAGTCGAGCTGCCTTAACTAGTTTATCCAGGCCAAAGTAAGAAGCCATCACTGCTGCCTGGGGGTGAGACACACACTCCGGGGCCTCGCTCATGGTTCTTCTTCATCTATATTATTACACCACACTGTAAATACTATAACTAAATTGAAATATATATTATAATTTTTAATAATATAAATAAGAGATTAGTAAGATGCATATTTAAACATAGAGATATAATTATGATGGTCTTTAAAGATACCTGGGCTACTACATTTTAGTAGTGGGCGAAAAATATCGACAATTATTCATAAACACGAAAGTTATAGATAAAAAATAGGAGTTAAATCTTCTTAATTTTTTTCAAAGTCATGTTCTGTTATAATAAACTTTACTTTTTAACAATATATATCTCAATATATTTCCGATATTGTAAATTGATATTTCAGAACTTTAATTAATTGTTTCAGTTCAAAAGTGGTATTCTTCAATTCATATTATAATGATAATTTGTCATCAGTGTAATAATTATATTGTATGGCTGCTGTATTAATTATATTGTATGGCTGCTGTAATAAGTCATTAGCCCCGCGGTCACATCAAACCAGCTGGTAGTTACGCCTGTCTTACAGTGGCTGTCAGAGTGGGTGAACTACAGTAATTACCTATTGTTTTTATTTTCTCTTTTATCGTTAATTATAACAGTTATGAAATTATTGACTTGGTGAATGAATATGATTGTTACTTCTTTGTGAGTACTGGAAATGGTATGGGAATTAATGGTCATATTTAGGTTAAGGAATGCACGGTTATTGGTCATTTTGATGGACAGACAGACAGACCTGTTTGGCTGAGTAAATGAGGAATTTCCTTATCTCTGACATACTCGGTGTTGTGTGTGAGCCGCCCCCAACACCAGGGACGAGGGAAACACCTCACAGTTACTCCCTCCTACAGTTTGTGCTCCTCCTCCCACCCCACACTATTAAGTTTCAGTTCTATATATTTGTCAGTACAGTATAATCATTTAATAACGCCTTTAAGAATATTTAAATCAGATTTTCTAGAACAGTCCTTAAGGAGGAGTAAATGTACTGTTACAGTTTGTGTAATTGACAGTACAGTACAGTAGCTGCTGCTTGTTCCCGGGCACAAAAGAATACAGCATTACATCCTTCATGTTATTCACAAAAGTATTCTATTAAAATTAATTAATTTTCACTTATAAAAAGGAGCTTCTTAGGGTTTTTTTCCTAATGAAATTTAGATAATGCTTTACATAAGTATAAGAGGTTAGGTCAGGTCCTTCTGGTTAGGTTAGACACATACTGTATATTGTACTATTAGTTGAGAAATGTTAGGGTTTGGTTACGTCAGTTTCTTGCTTGTTTTTACCTCACAATTTCCCTCTACTTCAAAGCCCTGACCACTTTGTGTGATCAAAATTCCATGGTTTTAATTGAAATCTGACTGGCAACTTCATATTTTTTTTAGCTCCTTATTCCCTCAACTTAACTAAAGTTACTGAAATTCAACAACTGACTAGATATACCAAGTAGCAGAGAATACTGTAGGATCTGGTGAGTAAAATTTTTCTGTAGAATTCAAGCCTATTGTCCCAACACTCTCTATATGTCATTTCAAAGTTTTAATATTCTGTGGTTTGTAGATTTCAGATCTTCATGTAATTCTTGTATTTATTCTATTGAAGTTTTTTTTAAACCAGTTTTATTTTTAAGCTTTGTCTTATGTTACAGAGGTTGCAGCTTGTAATGAGTGGTGCTGAACTTGGCAATGGGAGGGATGGGGAAGTGCTGGAGGGATTTTTGTGCCCATTTTGCTTCTTAGACCTAACATCCATCACACAGCTCCAGGCACACTTTGAGGAACAGCACGAATCTGAAGACAAAGCTGTACTCCAGTCACTCAAAGGTGTGTGTACAGCCTTCTAATCTTCCCAAGTGTTGGGTTATCTTAATTATTCTCAATATCGTAATTTGTTTTATTACCCCCAAGTATATTAACTAAAATAATCCCCTTTAATATTACTTCATAAAACTGTTTAGGACTTTGCAATAAAACTATTTTAATGAATGTTATTATACCCCCTGTATAATACTAGCAGTCCTCAGTGACTCAACCTGACAGTAATGACAGTAATACAATTGAGAAAGGGGTTAGAATTAACAACTGGGCATCCACTTTACAAACTGAATTAGTTGCCATACTCACAGTTATCAAATTCATTGAAACCACTGTCACTGACAGTCTCATCATCACTGACTCTCTATCCTCACTACTTGCCCTTGACACCCTCAACTTAAGTTGTCGCACGCTTGTCTCTGAAGCCAGACACAAATATGCGGTCAAACTGTTGTGGATCCCCTCTCACATAGGCCTCAAAGAACATGACAGAGTTGATGCCCTCGCCAAACTCGCGTCTAACAAAGACACTGTTGAATACAATCTGGGTCTGTCAAAGGGAACCCTTAAAACTGTAATTAGGAAGGAAATTATTGATGAATTTGATGCAAGTAGCCAAGTGCAAACAGTCACTAGTCGATCTATAGTTTACCATGATGAGATGTATCAAGTGAAACATGTAAATGGGGCAAGTGACAAGAGCACTAGATTACAAGATGTTGTAACCACTAGATTAAGGTTAGGATATAAGTACCTCTGGCAGTATGTTCCTCAAGCAGATATAAACAAGACTAAATGTAAAGTGAGTGGCCAGACATGTGGCCACACACTAGAACACTACGTCCTCGACTGTGTGAAGATAGAACCTTTTAGGGACAGGTCCAAGCACACTGTGTGTGAAATGGCACAACACTTCATCTCTAATGGCAAGATAGCCAACATATTAAGATTGTATCCACTTTTTTGCACTTAGTAACTATATCAGTTCCCATGTATAGAACCAAACACACATTGTGCTTGAATACTTCTCACGCAAATGTGAATAACAAAGTAAGCGGCCAGACATGTTGACTCACACTCCTGTACTCGCGCAGTTGTAAATAAGTTACCCTTTATGTATAGAACTAAACAAATAATGTAATTGAAATACTGTGTAACATTCAGAGCCATAATATCCTGACCACGGGGGTTAATTGTTATGACCCTTTGTAAACCATACTCTGTATTCCTTTTGCGCTACGGCTAAACAGGATGAGTATGGGGTGCACAATAAACTAGCCACTGTAAGCGGCAAAATCAATCAATCGGTATACTGTACAGTACAGTATACCTGTACTGGGTGTTTCAGAAATACTTTTCCTTATTCAGGGGGGTGTATTGCTGGGGCAATTCTAAGGTACAGTGTCGATATGACAAAATGTCGGAATCCACATAATTTCCTAGCTACAGCACTTGAAAAGCGTTTGGGTTATAACAATGAGATTGGAGTGAAATAGCCATAGATTTTTGTGAAGTTTTATGCAAGTAACTCTAAACAATGCATTATTACAGTACAGTACATATTCAAAATTCCCTCTCTCTCTCTTTCTCTACCTTTGTATCACATTGTGCAGTGAAATGACCCAAGGCTACTGTATTTTATAGAAAACTATTGTTCTCTGAGAAAAACTTGTTTAGCCACAAAACCAACCACACCAAATGTGTTACCTTAGAGAGGTCTTATACAGTATACACACATTCCTTTATAGACATATAAATGGGAGGGAAGTATCTCAATGAACCCACCGTGTCCCTCCACAACTTGTACCATGCAACTATCTTTTTATATTAACATGATCTTTTTTCAGGTTTCTTGAATAAAGCAAAGAAAAAACTGTTGAATGAGGATGAACCAGACTTTGTGCCAGCAAGAAACCATAACCCGTTTGATGATGGCGCTGTGGAGTATGAGCCTAATAACCCTTGGAATTGGGATCCTCCGCCTCTAGGTAAGCTGTATTCTTCTTGGTTGAAGCTGATCTACTGAAGTATTAATATTTTAAGGTATAGTCAGTGAAAATTTATAAAATAAATCTTTTCATGAGAAGAGTGAAAAACATAAAGATAGAATTAGAATTATTTGAAACAAAATAATTTATGGTCAGTATATCAGGCTTGTAGGTTTGAAGACAAGATTATTGCCAAAATATAACAAGATAAAATATTAAGGATTATTCAGCATTTGATAGGAAGAAAGAGGTAGGATCATGGATATTTTTGCCTTGAGAATGCTTAAGAGTTTAAGGTGAAGAGTGACTGCCACTACAGTTCTGTGTATGTATAGATAATATGGGAAAGTGGGTGCTGGAAATGTGGGAAGGATGATTAAGAGAACCAAACATGTCAAGTTCAAGGAAGAACAATGTCAGAATTGAAGTGAAAGAACAGAGTGAGGGATTGTGACTAAATGGAGTTAGTAAAATAAGTAGCTGCATTATTTAAAAAAATAATTGTAACTTCAATTTTTTTTTTTTTTTTTTTAATCAAGGGACAAAATAAAGTTTTTCATAACTTAGGATTTTCGTAAACTGAACCATTGTAAATTGGGGACTGCCTGTATGATGAATATATAGTTCATAAAAAGAGGAAGCAGATTTACTGTAATTTTTGATGAAAATAATTAATTTGATCAAAAAGAGCTTTTCTATCTTTGGTTTTTATTTTTGAGGATAAATTTTGCTTTCAACAGGACCTTCAAGATCTCACACAGCGCTCTTCAAAAAAATAAGAAGTGCAAGGATAGATTCTTTTGTCGCAGAAACAAATAAATTGCTTATCAGACTAGACAAACTGCTGAAAGACTTACCCAGTGATCCAGTCAAAAGAAAAGGTGAGTGATTATACTTGTTATTGGTGTGTCTTAGATTTTACTTAATGTTTAGAGTAAAAATACAAATGAGCCCAGCACAGTGAAGAATTGTGCATTAAAAGGATGAAGAAAGTGAAATAATCCTGAATGATTAATCTGTTTATTGGGCCAAGCAGATATTTATGAACTTCTTAAGCAATGTTGCATTGCATGTACAGGTTCACCACAGATTTTCCGGCACCCTTGGTTCCAAATCCTTGCCGGATTATCCGTTTTGCTGGATTAACCGAGGTCAGGTAATAATAATTTAACAATACACCTCTAAACCATTAATTATACACCTCCTGTGTCTCTAAAGCACCATGGACTGCTAGAAACTTAAATTAATCAAATGTTAAATGTAAATTAAGTGTGAAAAAACAAATTTTTTTTGGATTACATTATACTGTACTGTACAAACTTTCTATTCAAATGTACTACACTAAAGGACTAAAAAATTTATCTCTTGTGTTACACAAGAGATGTTATTTTTATACTCAAATTATTCACTATCTTGCAAGGATTCCAGCAATGCAAGTTATTTTCTGCTAAATTTAGTTTGTGACATTTTATACAATAAACACTTTAAGCCTAAAACTACCTTCACCCTGGCTGGGAGGGAGGGAGGGAAGTTGAGTGTCCTCTTGTAATATTTTCCGGACTAAAGGAGGTGCCGGACCATCAGTTCCCGGAAAATCAGTGGTGGACCTGTATTATGATTTTCTTTGCTCAATGTTAACTAAAGATTAATGGATTTATTTTTATAATTTGTTGTGAGATTTGCCAGACTAATTCTACCTTATTATTTTTAAGTGAAGTTAAAATGCCAGACATAAAATGCTTGTTTGTCTTTCTCAAGGTTTTTACTGTCACAGTTTATTGTCTGTCATCCAATTGTTTGTTGGCTTATTGGTTGAGGACCATAGCCACATATACTGGGACAACAGACAGTGATTGTTAGGAGAATATGTCTGTAGCATGTGTGGTAAGAGGAATTTAAAACTCTCTGCTGCACCAGATCTAAGTCTTATATTACAGACAATTGTATTCTCCATAACTTTACGCAGTAGCTTATACATGTTACTATACTGAGAGAGGAATAAGGAATATTAGTAATGAAATATCCTTATGGTATTGATTCAGATAACGATATCTTTTATTTATTCGACATAGCTATGGATAATTGATATTTTAATGAAGAATTTATCCCTCTTTTAGCTTAAGCAACCTAGAACACATGGAACTTATGGGTGTTTGTTGTATGGAAAGACACCCTATCATTAAATTTATCATGTACAAGTATATTAATGTATAAGCCTAATTTGTACCTCAGTTACTCAAGGGGTGAAGGGACTGGCAGTAGATAAACTAACGTACCTTTATAAATAATTAGTATTTGCTCATAACTATTGAACAGATATTAAATGAGTTAAAGGAAGTACAGTGAGTTTGTTAGAGAGATGCAGCAACAAAATAGTGCAGGTATAGTATAACCAATCCAAAAAATATTGAGATCTCGGGCGTCAGAAAGAATATGAAACATTGGCCAAAAACCATTCCAGCCCAACTGATACCTGGAGATGTCTGAGGTTATTGCTTCTTTTCTATTCAACGTAGCCATGGGGTCTTGGTGATTTTTCGATTGGCTGTACAGTTGATTACTTACATGTACCGTATATTCTCTATATGCCTTTAAGGTATACTTTATTTATTTTGCTCTATTTCACAAAATATACTCAATATTTTTCAATGAACTATCAGAGAAGAGTGATAACAATACTAATCAAGCCTTCAAAGTCCTGCCAGGACCATCACCAGCGTGAGTCATGCTAGCATTATACTGAAGGATTCCTGTGACAACAAGCAACATCTGGCCTAAGTTACCTAAATCTTTGGTTTAATTTGACCAAATAATAATTTCAAAAGCTACCCGTATGTGAACTCAATATGAATATTTTACATTATTACATGTAAATCTTAATAAAGATAATCAAGGTTATTTATTTAATTAGACAATACAGTACAGTACAATAATTATTTATAAACTCTACTTCTCACAAATGTCTCATAACACACACGAAGCTGCTGGGAGTTAGACGTAAACAAACCCAAGATACGGTGGAATGGAGGCCTACCTAGGGAACTCTCAACTTGTGAAAAGACTACATTCAATGAATCTTTTTATCTAAAGTATGTGTACAACAGTATTTTCTTTATTTTGATATTTCATTAGTAAACCAACGTTCAACTGAATTTATGTGAATGAGTGGAAGCTAAACATGGTGTAGTCTGTTGGTAGGCCTGGAGTAACAGATAGATTACCCAGGACCCATGAAACTGGAAAATCCTTGAAATAGTCTTGGCTGGGCCTCATAGTCTTACACTGCATCACAGCCTGTGGCACAGTTTCTCAGTACTGTAATTTTTGTGTTCTCCACTGCATGTATTTCACTACTTTTTTTTATTGCCTTACTGTATTTACTGTAAGATTTTACAGTACAGTATAAACATAATTTACTTTCAATGTTGTGTTACAGCTCATGAGCGAAGTATTGTCATGTGGGCAGACGACAAAGATGTTCCACTCTGTCCATTCTGTGCTCGCTCATTTAACCTGGCTCGTCGTCGTCATCACTGTCGGCTGTGTGGAGGCATCATGTGTAACGAGTGTTCTCACTTTCTCGAATTTGAATATGCAAGTAAGTTTGTGAATATTTTTGTAGAAGCTGTTAGTTAACATTTGCTGTGATACAAATATTTCCTAAAAGATACTTGTGCCATAACATATAATATTATTAACTAATTTTTTCTCTCATAAATGCAACCCCCAGAGGATGACTTCTACTCATGTATAATTGGAGAGTGCTGTAGATAATTGCCATACCTCTGTTAATTATGTTTAGGCATGTCAACTTATGAGGCATTAGTTTGATCCTGTAAACCTATCTCTAAACATGAAGGATGTCCATTTAGTTTTTAACTTCTTTGAGTGCTGGGAAATATCAGGTGATGATTTTTCGAAGAAGAGAGTGAAATTGAAGACAGTTGTACCTTTCAGCATGAAAGGCTGAATTTCAGAAACATATTCTGTTCACATGAGCTTTATAACCAGAGCCTAGAGAGACTTTATCAATGCAACTGATTGGCTGGTGGAATGAGGTGCATTAGGTCATCTAAAGCCCTTCATTATTTTTTATTCTGCTGTTACAGGTTATATTAAAGCTACAAATAAAGAGTTAAAAAGTCTTTGACACTCAACTATAATCTATTCCATTTAGAAAAACAGGGAAGCCATGCCCACATTCCCCCATCCTCCATTTACTTCTTGCCCTATTATCTGTTTTTCTTGAGTTAAGATTATGATCCTCTTTGCTTCAGAAAAACTTATCAGTCCAGTTCACCAAGGCAGCATGGTTCAGTCGGCAGCTGTGAATGTCAGCAGTGGAGTGGGTTCCAGCATGTCTTCTCTTTTTTCGGGTATCTCAGGTCTCCGGCGGTCTGGCTCGCAGGGCTCCCTCAATTCACTTCTCTCTGTGATGGATTCTATGACTACAGAACAAAATTTTCGAATATGTACACATTGTATGACGGTAAGATTATATCATGCACCACTGGTATGTTGTGAAATATGTTACTGAATAGGTATAAACACTTTGGTTTCAATAGGATTGAATTACTGAAAGCTATATCTTAAACTGAATACTGTAATTATAAATACATTTGTATTAATCTTTTGATTACCATTCTAAGTTATGTATATACTGTATATAACTTGTATGCTGTAGTCTATTTCCATATAGGCATTATGATTATCCAATACAGTATACAAAAGGGTTCCATTCCTGAAAAATATTTTGTATATTGATTTTTGTAAATCAGATCACAGTTTCCTATAGACTCCAGTGTTTTGACCTTGCTAGAGGAAAGGACACGGCCACCTTAGCTCCCAGGGATTGATTGTCAGCAATGGCTAGTGCTACTTGTGAGCAGGCCTGTGCCCTTCTGAGGGCCGAGTTAGTGAAGGTCAAGGCCAAAAACTTGAAATTAAAGGAAGTGATTGCGAGGATGAAGGAGGAAGACACAAGACAAGGAAAGCCCATGTCTGACGAAGGCACAGGTGAATGGAGGGTTGTGAGGAGAGGAACGACCAAATTGGTGGTAAGAAAAGACACCAAAACGACAACAGCTAACTGTTAAAACTCTCTTAGCCCTTTGGTGGAAGAATTGGACGTTAGCGTAGTCAGGGACAGGGCTGACAAGGAAGGTACAACAACCTTAATTTTTGGTGATTCCCAGGTATGGTACCTGGATAGAGCTTTCTGTGCTAAAAATAAAAATAGGATGCGAGTGTGTGTGCCAGGAGCTGGGGTGGGGGATATAGTTGACAGGATGAACAATATCTTGTCTGGTAATGGGAACAAACCCATTATCTGCCTCAGTGCAGGAGGCAATGATATTGGCCGGTGTAGGAGTGAGGAGCTTCTTGATAAGTTCAAGACAGCTATAGAATGTATTAGGGTGTGGGGAGGGATCCCTATCATATGTGGTATCCTGCCGAGAAGGAGAGTTGGCAATGAATGGTTGTCAAGGGCAGTTGGTGTCAATGGCCATCTTGACAGATATTGCAAGTCAATATCAGTTCCACTCATTGACAACTGGGACAGCTTTTATGGCAGAAGGGACCTTTATGCTAGGGATGGGGTGGCAACCCTGGCTGGCTCTCTCGAGAGGGCAGTTCAAATGATGTCGAAGTCTTTAAACTGCTAGGGGAACATATGGGCATGGAGGTGGAGGAAACTGCAGTGGGAGCAGGTAAACAAAGTGAAAGGTTACAGGGAAATAGTGATAGGAATGATGACAAAACTAAATTAAAACCTAAACGCAACAAAGGGAGGACTCATATCACGACTAACTTAACTGTATACTATGCAAACAGTAGAGGTATGAGAAACAAAATGTATGAAATCAGGGCGTTGGTATGTACCCAAAACATTTATATAATAGCATTCACCGAAACATGGATGAACTTACTCATGTGAGTTACCTGCCGAATACCAAATTGCTGGTTACAAATTATTCAATACCGATAGGCAGATTAGGAAAGGAGTCGGAGTAGCAATCTATGTCAGGGATAATCTGATGTGTGAAATAAATAAGGAAATATAAACTGAACTGAATACAAAAACAATTTGGATAGGATTAACTGATGGTCGGGAAAAGTAAATCGCAGGAGCAATATATAGACCTCCTAATCTTGATAGAGTTAATGAGCGACTTATTTGGGATGAAATGCGCAGGGCTTCCAGGCATAGCAAAGTCTGTATAGTAGGCGACTTTATCTTTAGTTAAATGGATTGGACTTACCTTACTGGTTACATTTCTTTTCTATTTACTCTTTCTTTTACTTATTCCTGCTATTCCTTCTCGTTATACTCGTGAAAGGTGGAGAGTGTGAGGGAGGTAATTGTTTATGGGTGCGGTCGGCTGGTGATATAGGCTTATTTAATTGGCCCTCCCACGCACACCAGCCAGGGGAGACTCACGGAAGCTGGTTAGGGGAACTAAGATACAATACTTCACTGAGGGGAAATATAGGAGAGTTATTATATATAGGACTCACCATATTACTGCATAATATCAAGACATTCATAACACATCACTCGTTCTCAGTAAAGGAAGGATGAATTAGGACTCTTATTAATGGTTACTGTATATATTGAATACTTTATACAGTGACCCCTCGGTTAACGAACTCAATCCGTTCCAAAAGGTCGTTCGTTAACCGAAACCATTGTTTCAATGGGTTTTTGGGTAATTGGTTCCAGCTCACCGAAAATTTCCCAAATTCAACAAAAATGGTAGAAAAGTTCACTTACTTTGAGGTGTGTATGTAGAAGGCTCCTGGATGATGATGATGGGAATTAGAATGCGGGTGGAGGAGAAGGAAGAAGAGAAGGCATTGGGGTGGAAGAGAAGTCACCCCATGGCACCATTTCACCCATAAAATTTTAGTTCTCTTGGTGTAATTCAAGATTATTTTTTTTAAATCAACACTGCACTGCATTATATATTGTCAATATGTAAAATATATTTCAAAATGACCAATAATTTGCTTGGAAACAGAAAAAAGCGTTTAGTTGAAGAGAGTCTCAAGCAAGATGTTACCTCCAGTGAAAACAGAGAGACTAACGCCTGTTTGCTGTGTTAAGAGGCTGGATGCCGCGCATTAAACTAGTCACTTTACCTTCAATTATGTTCAATAATTGTTAAAATGACTAAAAAATTGAATATTAAACTTTTAAAATTATTGAATAGTATAAACTTCTTGATATTTACTAAAATAGTAAGGAATTTAAGCCCTAGAACCGATTAATGTATTGGCGGACTGATACTAAAGCTGGTTGCCCGGTCAGTGCAAGCAAAAACATGTTGAGGTCGGTTCGTAAGAAATTCGTTAACCGAATTTTTGTTCGTTAACCGAATTGAAGATCCATATGGAAGGCAGTTCGTTAACCGAGGCGTTCGTTAAACGAGGGGTCACTGTACTGTATTAGGGTTTAACAGTTACACTTCAGAATAATAAAACCCCAGCTCCTAGCTAGTTAAACGGGAACCACGTATCTCACAACAAAAGGGAACTTGAGGATTTACCAAATAGAATACACCCAAATACCTGCCATGTCGCCACCACAAACGTCCCACACCTCCCTACACAAAATTCCAACACAGACTGACTTTTTCGAACTGGGTGGCACAGAGGGACAGCTTCATGACGTCATGCCCCTTACGCCTCCTCATTGGCTGAAGACAGGCCTAAGGCCTTCATACTGTATTGGCTCGAAATTGATGGGAACTCTCAGGTGGCGGGAAACTAATGGCACTGTTACAACAGTTCAGGACTGTTTCCTAAGACAACATATAGCCGAACCCACCCGGGGTAATAATATACTCGATTTAGTTCTGTCAAACAGAGAAAACCTTATTAGTAATGTCGAGGCAGGGAACGAACTAGCTAACAGCAATCACAACGTAAGATTCAAAATAGAATTTAATATCAGTTGCAAGGAAAATTTCCTTAAAGTCCCAGATTTCAGAATGGCAAACTTTGATAGTTTGAAAAGGCAGCTGAGAGAAGGGGTATCACATTTGGGGTGAATTACATGACCTCATATGAGGTGACCTCACACAATGTACCCACAGAGGGCAACCTCACTTTACTTGGAGACCTGACAATGATAACCTCACAAAATATGACAGTTGAAGATGACCTGATCACGAGATCTGAGGTTGACGAGTTCCACAACAATTTAAATAATAAGTTACTTAATGCACATAGGCAGAACATACCATACAGAAAACTTGGATCAAATAACAATGACTGTACAGTAAATGGATAAATAATTATTTAAAGAATATTATTGGACAAAGGAAGGCTATAGGTAGGAGAATAAATCATGGTGAAGTTTACATCCAAGATTATTATAAGGTATTGGCCAGGAGGGTTAAGATAGAGATGAGAAAAGCAAAGATGAATAATGAACTGAAGGTAACAAGGGAGGAAAAGTGAAACCTCAAGGGATTCTTTCAAATGTAACAAACTAAAACACGAGAAAAGATTGAACCAATATAGTCAGATACCGGCGAGCTAATCAATAACGATGGAGAAATGAGCAATAATCTGAACATATTTTTCCACAGTTTTCACCATCGAAAGTTTAAACATGATACCCTAGGCACCGACTATATACAGAGAGAGTGAAGAAAATAGATTGAGTGAGATAGTAGTGACTAGTCACGTTGTTACAGGTACACCACCGATTTTCCGGGAACTGATGGTCCGGCACCTCCTTTAGTCCAGACAAAATTACGAGAGGGCACTTAACTTCTCTCCCAGCCAGGATGAAGGTACTGGCATCCCCCGCGTTACGGAAGGGTTGCGTCCCTAGAAAATTGACCGTATCGCGAAATTCCGTAACGCGAAACCTATTTTCCCATTGACTTCCATTATAAAACTGGAGATGAGTTCCTAAGGAATTTTTTCCGGCCCCAAAAAAGTAATTCAAGCACTTTTATGAATGAAAATAAACATTTATAAACACATACAATACAGTACATTAAATAATTTATGATATATCTTCTTAAAACATCAAGTTTAACATCCAGTGTAATGCCTTTGCGGCTTCTTTTTGCACTACTGCGGTTACTTCCACTTGATGGCCTCTTTCCAGTCATCTTGAATAAGGGTAATGCACTATACTGTACTTACTGTATGTTTGTAAAAGTTAAATCCAACTGCTGGGGCGAGAAACATGCGCACACACTGGATGTAAACAATGGACTGACTCCTCGTGGCGATGCCACGCTTGGCGGTAGCAAACACCGAGAAATCCACACCAAACAAATGTAATTTTTAACAAAAAATTATAATTTTTTATAGTGATTTTTTTTTTTTTTTTTTTTTTAATTTACGCCAATTTCCATAAGGGCGGATTTAAGGGCAGTTACGCGAAATTATTGGTCATAATTTACAAATTCCGTAACCTGAGCTTTCTTAACGCGGGGGATGCCTGTAGTTTTAGGCTTGAAATTTTTATCTTATAAAATGTCGCAGACTAATCTTAGCAGAATATAACTTGCATTGCTGGAATCCTTGTAAGATAGTAATTAATTTGAGTATAAACATAAGATAGTTTGCACAAGAGATAAATATTTTAGTCCTGTAGTGAGGTACATTTGAGTGCAAAGTATGTGCAGTAATATGTTACTCAACATTACATTTTTTTTTTCACATTTAATTTACATTTAACATTTGATTAATTTAAGTTTCTAGCAGTCCATGGTGCTTTAGAGACACAGGAGGTGTATAATTAGTGGTTTAGAGGTGTATTGTTAAATTATTATTACCTGACCTCGGTTGGTCCAGCAAAACGGATAATCCGGCAAGGATTTGGAACCAAGGGTGCCGGAAAATCTATGGCGTACCTTTAGTAAGCAAATAGACAAGCTAAAGCCTAATAAGTCACCAGGTCCCGATGAGATATTTGCCAGAGTATTAAAGGAATGTAAGGAAGAGCTTAGTATGCCCTAAGCAAATTTATTTATCTTGTTGTTAAAAACGGGTGTAGTATCAGAATCCTGGAGGGCGAATGTGATAACGATTTTCAAGAAGAGAGATAGATCACTATCCTCTAACTACTGTCCAATCAGTTTAACATCATTTGTAGGCAAATTGCTGGAAGCAATAATTTCAAACGCTATTCAAAAACGCCTGGAGAAGCACAAGTTGATCAATGATTCCCAACATGGCTTCACAAGTGGGCACTCATGTCTAACTAATCTATTAACATTCTTTTCAGCTGTTTTTGAATCAGTGGACGACGGACACGATTATGATGAGGTATATCTCGCCTTTAGCAAAGCCTTCGACAGAGTCCCCCACAAAAGACTAATACGAAAAGTGGAGGCTCATGGCATTGGAGGAGATATTCTAAAATCGATTAGGGCGTGGTTACAGGACAGGAAACAGCGAGTAAGCATTAACGGCACTAAAATCGGATTGGGGTAGCGTCACTAGTGGAGTACCCCAAGACTCAGTACTGTACTTGGACCATTATTATATATTATATACATAAACGACATAGATATAGGCATAGACAGCAAAATAAGTAAATTTGCTGATGACAATAAAATAGGGCGTGTAATTAAATCTGACGATGTTTCCGCAACACTATGGGGAGCTTTTTAAAAAAAATTTCGAATGGTCTAAAAAAATGGCAGATGAAATTTAATGTGGACATGTGTAAATTACTTAGTCAAGGAGATGTAAACAGAGAAACCAGATATCAGATGAACAATGTTGTTATAGAAAAATCTGACTGTGAGAAAGAATTAGGAGTAATGATAAGTAGGAATCTTAAACCAAGTAAACAAGGCTAACAAAGTACTTGGGTTCATACAAAGGAGTGTTAGCTACAAGACTAGCGAGGTTATCCTAAAACTATATCTTGACAAGTTAAAGCATCTTAATTTGCACTCCCTCGAGAGATGTAGAGTGAGGGGCAATATGATCGTGATGTATAAATGGAAGTCAGGGCTAAACAAAGGTGAAAAAACAAAGGTACTCAAACTTATCCAACCAGGACTGAACTTATAGCAATTGTTTTAAATTAGACAAATTTAGATTTAGGCATGAGATAGGTAAACATTGGTTTGGAAATAGAGTTGTGGATGAGTGGAGCAAGTTACCAAACATCATCATTAAATTGAATGTGCAGGGATATCTTCAAACATAGGTTGGATGGATATAGTATGAGCGATAGGGGTTGGGTGTAAACGGGACTGCCCAGTATGGGCCAATAGGCCCGCTGCAGTTTCCTCCATTCTCATGTTCTTATAAAAGCTGACACACATTCCTCATAAAAACTCCCCAAAAATATCGTAAAATGCAATAAAACGTGTTTACAATGAAAGTTTTTGGTATACCCAATAAATATAAGCCAGTAATAAACATATTAAGTGAAATAACTTGTAATGTAATTTTGAATTCTTAAAGAATTTTACGGGTCACTCCTTTCGCACTATTAATGAAAATGATTTAGCACACATTCAAGAAAATAGCTTGGTGCTGTGCCAGCCTTTATGGAATCCTACCTTATGATGTGTAAAATGTAACAGAACTAATAATTTTATGATGATTACTTGAAGAAAAAGCAGTCACAGTGTAAACTGGGTCTGGGTCAGTGTGAGATGAACCTGCCTCAGCCAGTAACTATTCAGCATCACAAATGAATCTCATGGCTCAGTCAGCCAAAAAGGATTGAGTATTACTCTATATGGCTCAATTCAGCTGCTTTCCCAGTCAGTCTGTGTTAAGTTGTGATTCTTCTGCATTTTTTTGTCATTAATTTACATTTCTTGCCAACATAATTAGCTTCTCTAATAGTGATGTGCAGCCTAGTGAGTCTGAATACTCTTGTAAGAGAAAAACATGTGTGGAAAAGAGTGAAAGTAATACTGTTTTGCATATCATAATGGATGACAGTCACACAGCATACCTCAGATCTCTATTATCATCAAGGGGAAGTAAGAAAGCACATTACAGTACTTTCTCTAGTTTATTATTATTAACAGGTATTGAATTGTGCACTGTTTATTGTAGACATTTTTCTTAAACGTTTACCATTCCCCTCCCCATGTTCACTTGTACCAGGAGCCTAACTCTTTTTTATCATAGAACCAAGGATTTTACATTCACAGTTTCTTTATTCATGAGGTTTTTCAAGAATGTAACCCTCGCAAATATCAAGGGATGACTGTATTCAGTACTGTATCAGTAATTGGTTATTATACTGTATTGTATCTCTCTCTCCTGACACATTTTACAGTGTTTAGTTATTATATCTTCTGTTGTCCAGTTTTTATTTACTGATTACTCTTCTAACATTATTGAAAACTGCTTTCCTCATATATTGTACAGTTTAATCCTTTAATTTTCAGCGTCTCCAGGCAAGAGACAATCAAGTGGAGCAGCGCACATCAAAACCAACACTGTCGATGTATTATGAAAAATTGATGGAATACAGATCTCAAATTGAGAGCCTTTTACCACAATTTATACGTATGGCAGAGTCGTTAAGGTAAGGCAGTGCTTGTCCTTATTTTTTTTGTGACTTTTGCTTTCGCATAATTGTAAAAATGTATCGTCATCTTTACTTTAAAATAATTTTCCTTGCTTAAAGGGGTTAGCCATGATTACCTGATGGCAGCTCTACATAGTCAAAAGATATACAGTAATACCTCACTTAGCATTCAGGATACATTCCTGAAAAGTTGTATGCATCTGGCATGAGAAGTATGATGCTTTATGGCAGTGTAACATGGCGGGTTAAGTGACCTGAAATAAGAATGATGAGGTGGATGTACAGTGTGACACTGAAAGATAAAATACCCTGTTCAGAGCTAAGAGGGCAGCTGGATATTGAGAGTACCTCTACATATTGGCAAAGTTTAGCATAGAGGCAGCTGAGATGGTTTGGGCAGTTGGATAAAATGGAGAAGACCAGTTGGGTTTAGAGGTGCATGGGTCTAAATGTGGAAGGGAGGATAGATGGGGAAGGTCAAGAGTAACATGAGTACAGGTTATAAGAAATGACATTTGAGTTAAGAACCTACTGAGAGAAGATACAAGAGACTGTAAGGTGATGATGATGGTGATGATTACAACAGCCAGTTATAGCGCGTTTTTTCCCAGCTGAGAAAAGATGCCCCGCCTCCTCCTCAAAATTTACAGCTGATTGGCTGTTGCAAACCTGTCCGATTTTGTCCTGAAGTAATAATGTATTTCTAAATGAGTTTATTCATAATCGTTGGGATGACCGTTGCTGACGAGAAAGATATTTAGCTAAATTATATAAAGATACATAAATTCATTATTTCAAACATGAGCATGTAGGAAGTTTATCAGAAGTATTATACATGAATTAACTGTTAAACTCTGGTAGCAAATTCACTCTTTCGGAAGATGCATTTAATATATACAGTACTTATTTTTATCCACTAAGGCATACTAAGACAAATTACATATCAGTAATACTACATTGTGCAAAAACAACATTCTTAAAGATCATAATCACATTGAAATATTACACGACCGTCAGCAGAGGCGGGAAGTATGACATCGAACAACTTCATATTTTTCCCACCTCTGCTAACGGTGCGTAGCTAAATATTTCACTCATTTAGATACTTCAGGACAAAATCGGACAGGTTTGTAACAGCCAATCAGCTGTAACTCTTGGGGAAGGGGCGGGGCATCTTTTATCAGCTGAGAAAAAATGCACTATAGTAAAATTGAACTACAGTACAATACAGTATATTATTTCAGTTGTGGAGAAACTACATACAGTTTGCGTGATGCTGAAGAACTAAGAGTGAAAATCCTCAAAAAAGGGGATAGTCTCAACTCCATGGCTCAGCGTGTGCGTAACCTTGGTAGCAGCACAGGGCAAGACATAGGAGATGCAGCTTCAAGCCATGTTCCTCCTTCAGGTCCACGACAAGAACTCTTGCAACGCAGAATACAGTCAACTACAACAGCATTTCTCAAAGAACAAATTCTTAGTCTACCTAAGTTACCAACTCATCAGGAGCTGAAGGAGATGCAAGAGAGGAGAAGGTTAATTAATAATTTTCAGTTTTCTCATTTAAGCATTTCCCTTAAATACTGTATAGCCAGGTAAGGATTTTTTCTTTCTTCTTTTCACCACAGCATAAGCTACAAATGTCCTGAGGTGTGCATGAACCATGCTTAGTGAGAAGGAAACCATCCATATGCATCCAGTACAGCACAAACCATCGAGAAAATTCACAAATGAATAATGTGCGTGCATGTCTAGGAAATATCATGTACCAAATTTCCACTTTGACATGTTAGGGTCATCAGACTCATCACATATGCACACCAAACCCCACAGCTCATTCATTGTAGCAGCTTCACCTTGTCCAGATCACAGTACTGTGCATTAGTTTTTGTTTTCAGATTCTTTGTCTTATAAGTTTTCTTATGAGCTTTTTGGATCTTTGAGTGTATTGGCTAATTGTCTTGTCATCTTGTTGCAATGATTAATGCTACTGTTTGCAAAATGTTAATGCTTTTTGTGTTGTCTGATAATTATCAGATTCCTCTTAACTTGCATGTTCTCCACATGTTTCCTCCTCTTTTCACATTGAAAGCTTTTGTTGAATGACTCATGTCCCAATATTGACATTTGTAATTCATGTCATTTCTATGGGTACTTTCTTCTTTTGCTTCCATTTCCTTTCAATAAACTGTTGGTTATTGTAACGCAGACTCCACCATTTGACACTGATTCTCAGACTGCCCCAGAATAAAATACTGATATCTGTATATATTATTAATAATTATTAGATAAAGAAAACAATTCAAATACCGTATATACTCGTCTATAACCCCCCTTCGTATATAGGTCGACCCCGATTTTTTGACCAAGAAATCGTTAATTTATGATATTCCTCGTTTATAGGTCGACCCAAGTTTTTGAGGGTAATGGAACAACAAAACCTTCAGTAAAAACACTCTACGTTCTATAAACTTGTTTACCATTTATTATTACGACACTTTACAGTGAAACGCGGGTAGTTTCAACAAAAATATTGTATATTTCCATTCAAGTATTTATTCAAGTCAATTAGGAGGGAATGTTATTGTAATACAATAGCTTTTTAACTGAAAACCATTCGAAAAGCGATTACGGTAACATATTTTGAACGAAAGAAAGCAAAAGTCATTGTTTTCATCACAATTTTATCCCACTTTCCACTATAATACGTACGTCATTTCAGCAAAAAATATTACATTTCCGTGAATGTATTATATCAACCACAGTATGAATAGAATATCACTAATATAACAGTATTTTAACCGAAAACTATTAAAAAAACGAGTAACATCTCTTGAACATCGGAAGGTTAGGTAAAGTCTTTTGTTTTCGTCATGTAGTTTATCCTAATTTACATTGAAATACATCACGTTTCAGCAAAACTACTATTTATTTCTGAGAATATGGGAATGTAATATTTTTGCTGAAATGACGTACGTATTCAGTGGAAAGTGGGATAAAATTGTGACAAAAACAATGACTTTCGCTTTCTTTCGTTGAAAAGATGTTACCGTAATCGCTTTTCGAATGGTTTTCAGTTAAAAACTGTTATATTACAATAATATTCTATCCTAATTCACTTGTGATGTAACAGTTTTTTAACTGAAAAAGATTCGAAAAACACGTGTACCGTCTAGCTGATACGGCAGAGCCCTGGTTGCGGAGGCTTTGTTTTTGCATCGGCCCTTCTTAAGCAGCTTTTAATTTTAGCGTACGTTGAAATTGTGTTTACTGGTATATTCTTATTTTCCAGAAATATGACAAGTTTGTATATTAATACAATGTTACGGTACTTTAAATTTACAAGTACAGTGGGGTATGCTATAACGAACGGATCCTACTACGAATATTCCTATAACGAACAGTTTTACCTATAATATTGAGAATGCTATAATGAACGAAACTCCTACAACGAACATTATTTAAAAAAAATTTTTTTTTTTTTTTTTTTACTAATTTATTGTTTTTTTATTACAAGTATTAATGATATTCTTTATTTCAGGGGTTTAGATGCATATGTATGCACTTTTTTACAAATTTTACAATTTTATATTATATTTTTCAGTGTTAAGTGGTTGTATTTGGGGGCCTGGAACGGATTAATCCTATAACGAACGAATGCTATAACGAACAAGGTTCTAGAACCAATTAGATTCGTTATAGCATACCCCACTGTATTCATTTTTAAAAATACAGACGACACCAAACAAATACTAGTACGGATATTTGCGTGATTCTCCCGCCAAAAAAGACCAAACAGCTGGTACTCTCTCCCTCAGCCCTACCAAAAGTAGCCCGACATCTTTCTTGTTTATTCTCTTCCAATTTCTCACTTTAACTGGTATTTTTTACTTCATATTGCCTACATCAGATAAACTACAGTAATTGAGGTTAGATACTGTTATAAATTTGATTACCTGGTCCTGGCAGGTGCCGTTAGAACCACCTGACCCTACCAACAGTGTTGCAAGTCAGACAGCATTTTTTTTTTTTTTTACATTTTTGGTGTCTCCATTTGTTAATTTTTTTTTCTGTGGGGTTTGCACAATAGTATACTGTTTTACCTACAGTATTGTAAAACGATTTGGGAAAAGAAATACTCAGTAACTTAAAATTTTAAAAGGAAAATTTTGAAACTGGCAACTGTGTGTAGATGACCTGAGTCACATCATATTATGTCATCACGATTAGCCCACATGTATATTTCAAATTGTGTCTTGTTACAGTGTAGACGTGCTTGACCCATATTCTCTTCAGCATGGATTCAAGAAGAATGTTCACAGCAATGTTCAAGCTGAGAGTGATTGAATATGCAGAACAGACTCACAACTGTGCAGCAGCAAGGGAATTTAAGGTTTCCAAAAAAAGTGTTAGAGACTGGAAAAAGCTCTCTGCACAACTTAAGCTTTTGCCGAAAAACAAATGTGCTAACAGAGGAAAGTGTAACAAGTGGCCACAGTTGGAAGTTGAAGTGGCAAAGTATGTCAGTGAAAACCGACAGAATGGATATGGTGTTTCCCGAGGATCAATTCGAATCTTTGCCTTGAATCTAGCAAGGAAATTAGGTATCACAGATTTTAAGGCGAGTCATGGTTGGTGCACAAGATTTATGAAAAGAAATGATTTTGTACTGAGACGGAAAACGAAAATATCACAGCGTCTTCCACAAGAACTTGATGACAAGGTTATTGAATTTCATAGGTTCATAATCAAACACCGGAAGAAGAATTCATATAGACTTTTGTGTATTGGAAACATGGATGAAACGCCCATGAATTTTGACATGCCAATCAGTCAAACAGTGAATAAAGTTGGTGAAAAAACAGTTTTAGTTATAACTACTGGACATGAAAAATCAAGATTCACAGTTGTGCTATCATGTATGGCTGACGGCACAAAGCTGACGCCTATGGTAATATTTAAAAGGAAAACAATTCCAAAGCAAAATTTTCCAAAAGGTATAATCATCCATGTGCACGAGAAAGGATGGATGGATGAAGGCGGCATATAAATATGGCTTAAAAAAGTCTGGAACTTTAGACCAGGGGGACTGCGCAAAGAAAAAAGTCTTCTTGTGTGGGATATGTTTCGGTCACATCTTGTTGACAGTGTTACTGCTGGGATTAGGAAGGAAAACACTGATACAGCTGTGATTCCTGGTGGATTAACAAGTCTTGTCCAACCACTGGATGTTAAAATAAACAAACCATTTAAAGATGCGGTAAGAGTGAAGTGGAACAACTGGATGATAGAAGGCGATAAGACATACACAAAGGGAGGCAACATCCAAGCTCCATCACTAGCAACATTATGTGAATGGATTGTAGAGGCCTGGGATGCAATCAGACCAGAAATTGTGGTGAAATCTTTTAAGAAATGTGGGATTTCGAATGCTCTTGATGGAACAGAAGACGACTTGTTGTGGGATTATGAGGCTAATGAGAGCGTGAATGAGGATGAAGATATTGATGATCCTATGGCTGATGATGGTGTTGATCCATATGACGATGCTGTTCAAGGAGAGGACTGGGAGGAGCTGTCTGGTGCTACAGATGATGACAAGGAAAATGATTTTGATGGATTTTAATGAAAATATTCAGAAATATGGTATCGTAGTATTTATTCAAGTCAATTAGGATAGAATATTACTGTAATACAACAGTTTTTTAACTGAAAACCATTCGAAAAGCGATTACGATAAAATCTTTTGAACGACGAAAGAAAGTGAAAGTCATTGTTTTCGTCACAATTTTATCCCACTTTCCACTGAGAATATATTCATTCAGGCACAGTTAAGGTAAAATATACTTGTGATGTAATATTTTAATGAAAATATTTAGAAATGAGGTATCGTATTTTTCTTTTGTTTCAAATTTAATTAACAAAGATTGATGTTTCAAATTTAATTAACAAAAATTTATGTATCTATAAATAAACTTTTAAAAATGAATACTTTATGTTTTACATACTCCTGTGCATACCATACCATGCATTTGGCTACTTTGGGCTTGCTGTGATGACGCAAGAGATCTGCCCTGGCAACTGTACTGACACTCACAGCGGGTGGTGCGTTGGTGCGTCGTTTCCATTGTTTACTGGTAAATATTTTTCAACCTAACAAAACTATTACCCGTATAGAGGTCGACCCCCAACTTTTTGCCAAAAAATTTGGTCTTAAAAACTCGTGCTATACACGGGTTTATACGGTAAATGTAAATATATAGACCTGTAGTTTCATCTCTCTTTCCCATCACTTAATAATGTTACTCGTTATCTTTGCAACACAAATCTGCCTGTGTGCGTGAAATTATTTTTGACACAAATCTGCCATCACAAAGACAATACTGTATGGATAAATTTAACTGCATGTGGGACATTGTTCTTCCTTGTGTATTTGGTTTGGATTATGGATAATAGATGCATAGACAAAAATAAAATCTATTCTTTGTGTCAGAATGGAAGCTGAAGCTCGACTAGCAGCAGAGAAGGAAGCAACACGTCGAGCAGAGGCACGTGCAGCTGAGATCTTACGACGCAGAGACCGAGATTCAAGAGACTCTCCACGTTCCACACCATCGCGCTCCAGCAGTGTTACTCCTCCATCTTTTTCCAGCCTCAAGAAGCGACAGCAAACAGAGGAGGTTAGTGAGCAATTCCACATTTAATCATGAACATTTTGGCTTCTTCTCTCATTAAATTACAGTATCCATAGAGCTCTCAAGGTAACATACTGTAGCCAACCTTTTCTACATTATATTAGAAGGTGGAGTCAACTAGAGCAAAAAAAAGTATTGTCAAAATTACAAAAATCATCCTGTGAATTTTACCTTCACAAGAATATATCAAATTATCCTGAAATAGTGAATTGTATTTGATGTATTTTCAATCAAACCCATTTGTCTTTCTTCCTCATTCATTCTTCTGCTTACTCTTATGCCCGTATTATTAAACAACATCTCCCCTTGAAGAGGGTCGTCGTGTTTCAACCCAAGTTTTAAATTAAGTGAGTCCTGAGGTACACCGCAGTACAGTACTTAACGGGGCGGTGTGGCTGTAAAATTAACTGAAGCCAATATTATAAATTAATTTTATTGGAATTAGTTAATTTTACCGCCACACCGCCCCGTTAAGTACTGCACTGCGGTGTCCCTCAGGACTCGTTCAGTTTAAAACTCGGGCATCAGCCTTTCTTTTTCTCCATTTTTATTTTCTTTGTTTTCTAGTCTTTCTTCTTATTATTAGTCTTTTTTGTATTTCTTCTTCTTCATAGTTTTTCATCATCATCATCTTCTTAATCCTCTTCCTTCTTGATATGGTTTAATAAGTCATCTGTGTTCCATCAGGTGGTAGTGGACACAGGCTGGGGGGCAGACTCCTCAGCTCATAATGTGACTGAGACAGATGACCCAATGATTCAACAGATGAATATCATTAGGAATTATATCAAACAAGCCAGGTGGGTGCAGATATCAGGGTTACTACAGGTATTTCTGTCAAAGGTTTTCATGACAAGGAAGGCAATTTAATTAGACTGCTCCATTTAGTATTTCCCCAATTATTATTTTTAAGAAAGAGATGTGAGTGGGAATGGTGCTAGCGGATGTTACAAGGGCACGACTGCCACTCCACCCTTCTGTGCTTTCATTTGTAAGGAATTGTCAAAAACATTTTATGTCAACTGTGCAATTATTTGGTGATTCTGATGCAGGGATGGCAGATAGTTTGATATAACTGATGATAGCAAAGAATGTAATTATTTGGCACATTGCTGTAATTTGATGCCCTAAACCTAACATGCATTTTCCTATTGCTGTACAGTACTGCTGATTTTTGAAATGTTGTTTCCAACCAATATTATGTGATGATTCTAATACTTTATATAATACAGAAAGTGAAAATTACAGAAATGGATTGACTCAGTGGTCCAAGGATCCTAACCCCTATTTCCCCATCAATAAATGGATTCATAATTGCATGAAGTTACAATGATGTGTGATCCCTTAAAAGATGCATCATGCAAAACAGATTTACTGTAGCCAATTGGTCAGTCACTGGCTCTAAGCAGACTCCTTGCCTTCTCTCCATCCCACAATGAACTTTTTATTGAATCTGGATGTGCATGGGGGGGGGTAATCAGTTACCAGACTTGGGTAATAATTATCTTGGGGTCTAGCCAGAGTGCCTAAGGGATTTTATCATCAGTTATCCATGTACAGTATAGTGTCATCTCATCACATGACTAAATTATTCTTGCAGGGAAGCGAGTCGTTATGACGATGTGCCGTTACTAGAAGCAAACCTTCGAGAACTTCAAGAGGAGTATAAGAAACAACAGAGACTTATGAATCCATAGTACAGTAAAGGTCTTGGTGACTACTCATAATACTCAAAATTCTTCCTCATTTTTTTTATAGGGGGATATACTTACTGTACTCATAATTCTAAACAAGCATACAGTATTTTCTATTAATTGAGCATTTAAGTGTTATCATGATAAACAAGATGTAAGTAGTGTATATTAAGAGATTCTGAAATTTAAATTAAGTTCTCATATCCAATACATTACCAGGAAGTTCGGCTTGTCCTTCCTGTTATCTACCATTACAGTGTCTTTATTCTTAGTTGTCACTAAGCCTTCGTCCTCAGAAAATTCCCTTGTGTACTTTAGCAACTGCATTTATATTCTGTTAAATTTTTTATACAGATATAAACATTTTGTATTTTACTTAATGGTGTTGGAAGATCAGTTAGTTTGTGTGTTCGTTAGGCGTCAGTGAAAGTAAAGTGAAAGTAAAAGAGTCACTAGGAATTTGTTAGTTCTACAGCAGCCTTATCACCTCGTACTGGGTACAATGTTTATTGAATCTGTAATGACATTGGCTCTTCCATTAAATGTATAAGTTTTTTTTTTACATTTATAAAAAGCAATGTTCAGTTGCTCCATATTTATTTACCATTGAATTTTTTATTGGTAATATTTAACAGAATTCAGGGTTGTTATTTAAAGGCAGACAACCAATATTTGGTTTACTTTGACCACTTGACTTGTCTACGCTGCCAGTATATGTATAATGTACATTCTTCATAGTTAAGGTAATAAGGCTTCCTCATATAGAGAACAAGAATGTCCCTACAGCACATATCTGCTTTAATTTGCCGCACATTTCTTAAACTGTTTATGACACAATCTTGTATTATTGTTTTCTTGTTCTGTACTATATAGCTGACAATTTATTCAGCAAAAACATACTATGCAAATCCACGTGAAATATGCTTAATATCTGAGGTGAAGTATTAATGATAACTTGAATAAGATTGACCATGTGATTTTCAATATTACTTGATTCAAAATGAATATTGTGTTGTATGTTGTTATGTTGTATAGATCTTTTTGTATTATAAATTCATAAGATTATATATATAAATTCTCACTTTTTTAAAGGTAGGGTATACCAAAGATTATTGAAAGCTCATGAAATTTCCTCTATGTCTTTATATAGATTCTCTATCCGTAACAAAGTATTGTACAACTTTATCAATTGTGCCTCAGCTGGTTTTAGTGCTGTATATGTTTTTTTTTCTGATTTTTTTTATAACTGTATGTAGAGGAGTTAATGCATCATAAGACTGCTGATTAAATCAGATACTTCTCTACACTCAAATAAGATTTTAAGACACTTATCCCAACATTCCAATTTTTTGTAAATGGTTTTTTCATGGGTTATAGAACTATGCAGATTACATTGGTACTAGTATACTGTATTTATATACAGTGTTCAATAAATGGATGCTAACTTTATTTCCATAATTGAGTGGACCTTAGCTATTTTTGCAGCATGATTTAGCTTCATATAGCTTTACAGTATAACCTCAAAATGATGCATTATCAATGATGTTACCACAAAAGTAAGTTTTTCATATCTTGAACTCAGTTGCTAATGGTTTACAGTCATATAAACTGATGCAGAGCTGCCAGTACTGTAAATATAAATGACTTTGTACTGGAGTATGTTCTTACATTTAGTCATATTTAGTACAGTACAGGTACAGTATATGGAAGAGTTTGATGGCTCACAACCATATCATTTCATCTTGGTCTTAGTTTTACACACACATATTAGTTCCTTAAATTGGAAGCATTTGCTGTTTTACTTGTAATGCTGTATTTGGAAATACAAATAATTGTGGTGACAAGTTAATTAATAAAAATAATAATTCAAAAGAAAATAACCATTTTATATATTTATACAATACCTCAAGGAATCTTTCTTTGCTATGTAAGAATATGTGTCTGTATGTAGTGTATACACAAATCTTTTCGAAATTGGCCTGTATAATTACTTATGTAATTTTATCAATCTTGAATGCCTTTACCTACATTATGATGTTTTCTCCTGCATACATGAAGATGACTTACCCTGCAGCTCATCTTGTATTGCTCCATACTTGATTCCCTCATACTATACTCTTTAGCTCCATCCCTTCAACTCAGCTTGGTCTTCTACAAATTAAACATACAGCTCATTACAGTTCTCATTCAGTACGACGTCCTTTTCTGTATCATATGAACACCAAAGATATAGGTTAGTTAATAATGTTATGCACTGTATATTTGTAAGTGCAAAGGAAGTAAACACTCAAGTGTACGAGACAGTACAATAAAATTAACACCACAAGATTAAGAGTCATTACATTTTGAGAATATCTTATAATTTTGTCTTTAGTTTCATACTATTGCATCTTTTTCATTGCAAGCCTCTCTCTCACAAATAAAATTTGTGTTTTAAACCCACATTTCATTTAAATTACATTGCACATAGAGTGTTGTCATTTCCTACCATCTCAGACACTTGCAAAACATTCCACTTTATAATCAAACCATATACTGTACATCTTTGATTTGCATACACTGTTCAACTTACCAACACTACATACCTGTATATAGTTTTTCATTTATCCCTCCCTTTTTATATGGCTTACAGGCACAATACTATTACCGATTACTGGACTTACCTTCTCTCTCATCAGAAACACATTAACAGTTCTGAGTTAAACTCGGAACAGCAGAGAAAACTTACCTACAAACCTCAATTTGTGATAGAATGAGATAGTCAGTTTGTCCCATTACATCAAAAGTGCAAAGGTCCTGAGTGTTGGATCCCATCAACAAAGGGTTTGCTGGCATTCTGGCAGACAATTACTATAAGAAGCAGTTTTGCAAGGATTGTACTTCCTGTAATACAGACGGTAATGGATAGAAAATGCTGGTGAAGTTATCAAAATCTAAATGTCATTGGTATTCTTAAGGGTTAAAGGCGGCTGTGATTTAAGTCCAGACTTGACTAACAGCGATACAGTGAGTTCTGCTATAACGCGTGTTTTGATAACGCGAATTTGCTCTAACGCGATTTATGAATTCGGAACAATATTTGTATAACGCGAACGCTTGTTTGCTATAACGCGATTTTTGCTTACTATTTCTCCAATTTTGTGGTATTAACTGTGATTATGGTAAAGAAGAATATCTCCAAAAAGTGTTCTGATGATAGAATTCCCGGTGATTATCGTAAAAGAAAGGATATAACACTTGAAGAGAAGCTCGATGTTATCAACCTCAAAATCACCCTTCTCCCCCATCAAGTTACATTCATATTTTTTCAAGGTAAAGTGTTACATTTACTGTATGATTTCATTATTAGATATGAATGTAACATTTATTTAGACTGTGCTATCCTTTGTGTTAGGCTAACTACTAAATTTTTTCGATTTCGAGTAATCTGCACCTAACCCTATTTTCTCCATAAGCCCTGTTATTTCTATTACGCGATTTTCTATAACACGATATTTTACAAGAACACAATTATCGCGTTATAGCAGAACTACCTGTATGTTGAGGAACGAACCATACAGACTTGTCATCTGGGGGATCCACAAAATGTGTTCAATTTTGGGCAAATGTGCCACTGATGGCTTGGACAACTGGTTTGCCCTGGCTTCCAGACATAAAAGCATTTTTCAACATATTTATTTATGTTCTTTGTCTAACGATGATTGGCAGCAAAATTTAGAAACACGCTTTGTTGGCAATGGGTGACCTGACCATTCTGTTCCGAGACCATCTTGAATACCGACAGAGCTGAAACAACAGTTTACAGGTAAACAGATATTAATGTACAGTACTGTAACAGCAAAGTCATAAAGTAAAGAACATTTGCATGTACTGTACTGTAAGCCAGCAGAGAGGGATCCTACACAGGCCACTGGCTCTAGTCCATCAGCATGACCATCCCAAGTTTTGGTGGCCATTAGGTAAATAACTCAAGTGACTTTTCTCTGAATTACTGTATCTATCCTAATGAAAATCATAATCATTCCTGCTCGAAATAGGGCTCTGGGGCTCAAAAGAGCTTGTAATGACTCGTTGGGCAGTGTTGTTCAACTGGGCTAGCAGTACACAACTGTTCAATTTTATGCATTGTTTTCTTTTACTATACAGTATATTTGTACAAAGGTTGTGTAGTTAGATATGAAGCCAAAATGAAAAAAAAATATGCGTGATACTTAAAATTAATTATTTCTCGGTCATTATATAGCAAAAGAAACTTAAGCTGCCAGCACTAGACAATAAAGGTCATAACAAATAACAGACCAATCGGCTGATAAGAGGTTAAATCTATATACAGTATTTAAGATACATTCTGCAGGGGCGGATCCAGGAATATCAAAAGGGGGGAGGTTCCAAGAAGTTGTGGGTGGGGGAACATGCACGCTTAGTATTTGTAGATATTCTGAAGTCAATAGTAAATAATTTTTACTATAGAAAAATGTCTGAGTACAATACTGCATTAAAGAAAAAGTTTTGAAATTTTCTGGTGAAAAGGGGGTGTGCGGTCCCCACCCTGGATCCGCCCTTTTTCTGTATGTGTAGGGAGGTGCGAGTGGCCTATTCCTAGGGATGGTCGTGCATTATATTCTTGAAGCTCCACCGGGCAAAGTCGGGTAACTCTGCTAGTTATAAATAAGCTCCAATCTTGAGTCTGAAATGTCTTAAAAGTGTAATATTAAAACCAGAAACGTTATCAATCATTTCAAAGCTAAAATAGAAATTCATATTACGGTAAGTGTATTGTTGAAGTGATCCATATCAGCCTCTGATAGCTAAGCGTAATGTATTGTGTGTTATGTTTATCAAATCATTTTTAATTTTATTCTTGTGGATTTACTATTAATGATTAGTAACCAAGCCAAAACAAAGGACCCTTCTACTGGAAATAAGCATCTGGTGATACTTACTTTTATCCTCTTCACCACTGATCGGCTCGTTAGCCGCTTGGGTGATCGGTCACGTCTCTGTTATGTACTGTTGGCTAGTACTGGGCATGCACCGGCTCCTGAATGTATCTGAACCTGCTCCAGTGCTTGTCCAGTCTGGTCTTGAAAGAGCTCACACTCGGTGCCGCCACAACACACTCGCAGGTTGTTCCAAGAGTTCACAACTCTCACTCTGAAAAGGTTACCCTCACAGTTTTCTGGGCTTGCGGCTTCTTCAACCTTAAGCTGTGACCCTTTGTGGGACGAGCATCTGCCAGCTCCAGGTAAGGGCAATTTTTTTTTTTTTTTTATGGGGATTAGCCCACCCAGGCAAAGGTCAGACCCACATCAGGGCCTGGGGGGTGAAAATATTATAATAATAATAATGAATAAAAATATAAAGATTATAATAGAAACAAAAAACAACAACAATAATAATAACCATAAATAAATACTGTACAAAAATGAACAAATAAATCAAGAGCGAGGAACGATATACAACATGTATGTTGCGTTGTCAATAGTAAGAGAATCAATTGAGACCCTGCAATAGAGTGTAAATGAGGCAGAAAGTCAGATCACCAACCCGGGACTTGGTCACAATTCTTGTAATGCCAAATGGCAGCAGGGTCTACCATTAGACATACATTATGCTTCCAATATCTTCCCAAGCAGTAGTACCTCCCTGTTTGATAGCTGCTTACTACCTACTACAACTACTTGACTGAGTAGTGCCCTTTGAAATGTTTATACACCTCAATTAAGTCCCCCCTTGCCAATCTGTAGTATAAGCTAGGCAAATGCAGGCGCTCAAATCTCTCAAGGTAGCTGAGGTGCCATAGTGCAGTCACCAGTCTGGTGGCCCTCCTTTGGACATTTTTAATCAACTGACAGTCCCATGCATATCTCGGGGACCAGACGGGGTGACAGTACTCCAGATGGGGAAGCACTTCACCTTTGAAGATCGTTACGAGGGATGGACCGTCTAGACACAGGGTGTCCTCGCTTAACATCGGGGTTACATTCCTGAAAACACGACATTCGGCAAAGCAATGTTAAGCGTATCAATTTTCCCCATAAGAAATAGATAAAATATGGCAGTTATGTTCCCCAGCCTCCCTTTGCCCTATGAAAAACATTACATATACTGAAAATCATTGCCATTTCTATAGAAAATAGTATATATACAGTATATAGAACTACAGTACTAAGTTTGTTTTGGTACTCACCAATGGTAGAGAGAATGTGTGTGGTGGGTAGTGGAGCGAAGGAGGAGGATGGCAGGAGGGCGGGAGACGAGGAGGGTGATGAGTTAACGAGACTGCGGCTGCCTCCTCCTCCTCCTGCTTTGACTGGGGTTCCTCCGCCGCTGCTTGCTCCTCCTCCGTTGTTGTTTGATCCTCCTCGGCCGCCGGCTGTTGTGAAGAAGCTGCTTCTGCCATCCCGCGACGAACAAATTAATCCAGTGTTGACTGCGTTGTGCTACTCATCTTCTCCTTATAGATCTCGGTGAACAACCAAGACTGTCCTCAATGCTGTGTTGAACCTTTGAGCTACTTTCTCTGTTTGGGTCGTCAACTAGAAGGATTTGCATTGCTTGCTTGAACATGTTCAATTATTCTGCTGTCCTCTTGGAAGTTAGCGTTCGTTGAGGTTTTTCTTTGTCTTCGTCATAGTCTTCAACGAGTCTGTGTTCTGTTAGTTGTTGCAGATCTTCGTTGGTGAGCTCATCTGTATGGGATGCCAGGCCATCCTCAATATCCTCTGATTCCAGCTCATCAAAGCCTGCCTGTCTAGCTAAGCTGAGGATATCCCTATTCACAGCTTGGACTAAGTCCACGAATCCCGTAAAATTGTTGATGCACCCGGGCTACAGTTACTAGTAGGTAGTAGGCAACTACCAAACAGGGAGGTAT